CACTGTGGTGATGTCACACTCGGTCAGTCCACTCCGAACATACAGTCTGTGTTTGATTCTTAAAATCACATCCACAGCACTTACTGTCTTTTAGCTGTTACGACTCAACAATTACTAAAAATAATTCTTGATTAATTTTAAAACCGGATTATTTCAAAAAATAATTCAATAATATTAGCACTGACTCTACTCTACGGTTACCAAGGACCATAAATACTGGTTTGTTGTGAGCAGGTTCCTAGGCTACCGTACCAGATACTAAAGTGTGATAGAAACACAACCAGGAAGAGTAGAGAAGGGCAGGTGGAAATGGAGCCGTCTTGCAGTTTGAGAGAATGTAAGCAAGACTAGTAATAGAAGACTTAAAAACATTAATGATTTAAAAAATAAAATATGTGTAGAAGAGTAAATACAAACTGCAGTCCTAGTGTTATGTTAAAAACAAATCAAAAGCAAATTCAAAGAAATGCCATTATTACCACCTCATTTCATTATTATTATTAATAATATTAGTCATTACAGGTCTAAGTATGTAACCTTTATACATAAATCATAGTTATTGCGTTATTTAGGTAATTATGTCATTTGTTCAAAATTGTTTTGCATTTTAACAGAGAAAGAAAGCAGTATTGATTACAGTGGATTGCTTCATATTGAGCCATTACACCACCCGTAGCGGTGTATATTAGGATGAAACGCGGTCAAAAATGAATATTCTAGCCTCTAATTTGACAGGTGGATATGTGGGTGTTTAGAGACCCACCTGGCATTGCGAAGGAGCGGTGGAACAGCTGGTACCACAAAACCTTCATCCCGCAGAGGTACAGGCGCAGCAGCGGAACCAGCACGTCTGACAGCCACATTCTGCCGCCGGGTGTCGCACGCTAATGTGTCCGGGTGGAGTATGAAGATCGTAGCGGGCAGAGAACAGGGGTTTTATCCGAGCAGAGAAAGGTTCCGCCCCTCTGTATAAATCAGATTATGACGAAGAGGGCAAAGTTCGTTATGGGGGTAAAAAAACACGGATTAAAGGAGTCCATTGTTTGGGATTTATGAGACTGTTTTTTCCCGTTTTTAAAAAAAGGTTTCAGTTTCATTTAATGACAAAATAAATATATACATGCATCTGGTTATTTTAAGAACCAACGAGTAATGTATGTTAATGACTTGAATAATAGTAACAAAAATACATGAATATATTATAATATTAATGACAATTATAATAATAATTATACAGTTATTAATAATAATGATCATACAGTAGTAATAGCAATAATTATAATAGTTGTAACAATTATAATACTCCATGGCCTCACATAAAAGTACATCTGACATGTGAGCCATATGAACCAACTCAGATCCGGAGGAGCCCAGTCGCTGGGACTCTGAGGACCACAGGGACTGGCCCTCTGCTTCCTCCAGATGTATGCCGTTAAAATCTGGAACAACCTTCCAGAAAAAGTGAGACAGGCTTCTACTCTGTCAATGTTCAAATTCAGGTTAAAGCTTAAAAAGGTTTAGCTGTGCAACAACTGAAGGATTTGCTTTTTTAATTTGCTGACACCACCTTCATTGGACTCGTCTCCAACAACGATGAGTGCGCCTACAGAAAGGAGGTGGACCGGCTGGTGTCCTGGTGCAGTGGTAACAACCTGGAGCTGAACGCCCAGAAGACAGTGGAGATGATTGTGGACTTCAGGAAGAGCACAGTCCCCCCGCCCACACCCTCCCTAATGGACTCCCCCATCACCTCTGTGGTGTCCTTTAGTTTCCTGGGCACCACCATCACCCAGGACCTCAAGTGGGAGCCGACCATCAGCTCCCTCATCAAGAAGGCCCAGCAGAGGATGTACTAACTGCGGCAGCTCAGGAAAGCCAAGCTGCCTGCACAGATGTTGGTGCAGTTCTACACGGCCATCATCGAGTCCACCCTCACCTCCTCCATCACCGTGTGGTTCGCTGGAGCCACAGTCAGGGACAAACAGAGACCCATCTCTGCAGGACCTCTACCATGCCCGTGCTCGCGGCTGAGCTGGTCGTATCACAGCCTCTCACCTGCACATGGACTGTTCCAACCTCTTCCCTCAGGTAGGAGGCTAAGGTCCATTCGGACCAGAACCTCCCACTATAAGAACAGTTTCTTCTCCTTTGCTGTTGGACGCTTCATAACCTGTCCCCCCACCCTTTATAACGTTACTTTACTGCCCATCATAATGTGACTTGCTTCTGTCACCTTGCTTACTGCATGTTGTGTGCACCAAGTGCACTTGTATATTCTATTTAGTAATTGTAATTTTAATAATTTACCTTTTAAAATGTATACCTCAGAAGTGTATCTGCTGATTTTTTATTATGTCTCACTCTATTCTACCTCTTTTCTTGGACTGTTACAACGAGAGCCAAAGCAATTTTTCTTAGTCTGTGACTTACTGTTACTTACATGGCAATAAAAATGATTCTGATTCTAATCCCTTTGTACCAATATAGATGGATACAAAGATAATAATCAAATCAGATCATACACATTAAACTCAGTGGAACAGTTTAATGTTGCTCTCAGCCTGAGGCGGTGAGTAATCCAGACCATATCTGCGTCTCCTCTCACAGATAAATGATCCTTTGATCCAGTACAGACTTGAAAAGATGGATTTATTTCACTTCATAATGTCGTTTCCAAAATGCACCCTGAAGGCGACACTCAGTCTGCGTCACGTGTTTAGAATTTTGGTTTTTTTCTTTATAAAGAAGAAATATTATTTGATTGGCAGGTAACAATGATAATGACACTGTTTACTTTGTCATGTTTTAGATGTGAAATATCATCTTCTGAAGAAAATACAAGTATAGAGGGTAAAATTGTGTCTGCCAGCAACTATTTATGCTGCCACCAGAGGGAGGAATGGCGAGAGGATAGATAGGTGATGAAGAGAGAAGAGAGGAGAGAGAGAAGAGATTTTTTTTTTTAAAGATAAGATAACCAACCTTTCTTGAGCACATTTTTTCAGCTTTTCAACTGATACTGATGAGTATGACCTTTTGACACACATAATTGTAAAGTGACACTTGTAATTAATAGCGTAATTTCCCGACTGTGGGACGAATAAGGCATTCATTCATCCACAGTATAGTGCCTCCGTCTTGACCTTTTCTTTCCACAAAGCTATAATAAGGTTAGGTCGCCCTGTTTTTGTGCATGTTTATTTAAACGGGTGCCTTCGGTCTGGAGTTTCTGTGGAAAACCCAGCTCTGTGTTTCTCATAAATTACAAACCAGCTGCTTGTTTCGTCTCCTCTCTGTCGGCGATGGATTTCGTCCTGGTTTAGTTTTATCTCTGTAGTGTTCCCCTCAGGCGGCAGAGTGATGGATCCTGGATGGAAATCTACTGCCAAAAATCATGTACACCGTTTCAGTTATTGGTGTCCAGAATGAGTTAAAGTAAATGTATGTAGTGTCCTGAGAGAATTGTGCGCAGTTGTCTGTGTTTGCTATTTTGGGTAATGTTGGTTCTGTGGTTAGTTTTGTGTTGTATCTGTTGTGGCTGGAGTTTCTAGACTTAGAGATGTTGTTATTGATTTGTATCCAGAAGGCAGGACTGGAAGAGATTCCCAAGTAATATTTTTGCTAAATTTACTCTGGTAATTTACATCACAGGATACACACACACTCAAACGCACACGCGCACACGCACGCCTGCCATGTTCCTGATCATCTTTTTATGGTTTTAAATGTTGCATCTGGTCACAAAGAAAGTAACTGTCGAGGAACAGCCAGAGTCGTGTGTGTGTCTTGAAATCTCTCTGTGACACTTCAGCCGCATTCAGACCGGATCATGCGCGTCAGCGTTCCAGCGTCGGCGGTCTGAACGCGCCTTTACACTGGGACACACTGGTTTCTCTGGTGAAAGAAAGACACACAAATACACACACGCATGCACATACAAACGAAGACTCACAGAGACTACATAGATATAAACAAAGACACACACAAACAGATAGACATAGACACACACAGAGATACTCACACACAAACACAAGGACACGCGCGCACACACACACACACAATGGCAAACACACACACAAACACACGGCCGCCGCCACTTCTGTTTAAACGCTCCCGTCTTAAACTTGTTCCTTTATGACATTTCCTGACACTGTTACACAAAAATTTCTCAAATGACGTTCTCTATAAAAGATTTTATGAAAAAAAAAGAATGAGCTGAACGCCGTCCTCTGGTGGTGGAAGTGTGGAATTACATACTACAATCAATAACACCAGTTTATCAAAAATATTTTATTCGAGAATTTATTTCAGGATCAGAATAGTTTTATTGTTATTGAAAGTATAGGAAGTCACAAACTGTGAATATGCTTTGGTTCATGGTGCAAACAAGTTAGAAGTTCACATGCACACACATACACATACACATACACACACACACACACAGAGACACACATGTGGATGTGTATCTGTCGGTGTTTGTGTGTGTGTGTGTGTGTGTGTATGGGTTTGTCGCTGTCTGTGTGCGTGTCTCTCTGTGTGTGTGTGTGTGTAGCTGTCTGTCTGTGTGTGTGTCTCTGCGCGTGTGTGTATGTGTGTGTGTCGGTCTGTGTATCTGTCTTTCTCTGTGTATGTTTTTTGTGTGTGCGTCTGAGTCATCCAACACCTGTTGAAAACACACTTGCTTGCCTAATGACACAACAACAGTTTGGGCACCATCACAGACTAACCAGGCCCTGTCCTGCTTATCCTCTGAGGCCTGACTAGTTCAGTTGTTTCCCTGAAGGTGGCGCCATATTCCACACACGCCACGCTGGTTCTTTGCTGTTTTCAACCAATCCCATTAGATCTTTTGGTAGTTTTGTCATGTGTTTTGGAGAGTGAAAGCTGAAACTGGACAGATCCCACTCAGACTCAGACAGACACGATCTCGTCAATACTAAACCATAATAAACAAAGACCAGGACGAGTTTCCACAAGTTCAAATATGTTGTTTGTTCCTTATGTCCCAAGACATTTTTCCATTGGGCGTCTCCTTTGTCAACACTGTAAAAACCAGCGTTAATCCCAGCTCCAAATCTCCATCCAGGAGAAGTCAAAGGCCCCTCCCTGGTGCGGACTATAAAGACCGGAGCTGGTGCTGGTTCAAGCAAAACCTGAGAGGAACCATGAAGACTGTGTTAGCTCTGGCTCTGCTGCTGGTCCTGGCCCTGCTGGGTAAGCTCAATTCAATTTATTTTAGGCTAGAGTAGAGCAGGGTAGAGTAGAGTTGAGTAGAGTACAGTAGCAATACTCAAAGCAAACCAGTATCTGGGGAAATTCCTTGGTAACCATGGCTTCCAGACGTTCTCTGTCCATTACTGTCAGTTAGAACACTTAAGTCCCAGCGTGGCCTGAATAGAACCAGAACCAAGAGGGACTAGAAGGACCCGGTGCTAAAGGGGGGTAGAATAGAGGAGAGTAGAGCAGGATAAAGTGGAGTGGGGTAGGGTAGGGTAGAGTAGAGTAGAGTAGAGTAGAGTAGAGTAGAGTAGAGTAGAGTAGAGTAGAGTAGAGTAGAGTAGAGTAGAGTAGAGTAGAGTAGAGTAGAGTAGAGTAGAGTAGAGTAGAGTAGAGTAGAGTAGAGTAGCTGGCTACCCACAAGAATCAGTATCAATGGAAATTCCTTGGTAACCATGGCTTGGCCTGGATAGTAGAGTACAGAGTAGAGTAGAGTATGACTAGTGGAAACAGGGCTCTACTGATTTGTAGACACAGTTTTAATAAGTAAGTTATGTGTAGTTTTAATAGATAGTTTTATTGTTGTATGAAAGTTACGTTCCTCAGCTTTAAGGTCTGTGTCTTTTCTAAACTCTAACTCTGTGTTTGCAGCGGAGGGAAGCCCCCGGCCTGACAGGAGTGAGTGATGTCACATTTGATGCCTCACCCTCACACCTCACATCTTGCACCTCACTCCTCACCCTCACATGTCCCACCTCGCTTCTCACCCTCACTCCCCACACTCCTCACCGTTACACCTCACCCTCACACCCCACCCCTCACCCTTACTCCCCACACTCCTCACCGTTACACCTCACCCTCACACCCCACCCCTCACCCTCACTCCCCACACTCCTCACTGTTACACCTCACCCTCACACCTCACCCTCACACCTCACACTCACACCTCACCCTCACACCTCACCCTCACACCTCACACTCACACCTCACCCTCACACCTCACCCTCACACCTCACCCTTCTCTCTGCTTTCCCCACAGAGCTGACCATCTATGACCTCGTTCGCGGAGGAGGTGACAGAGATTGTTCTTGTGTTGTTTTGTGATGGACTCTACTCTACTCTAACTTACTCTACTCTACTCTACTCTATTCTACTCTAACTTTCTCTACTCTACTCTACTCTAACCTACTCTATACTCTAGTCTACTATAACTTACTCTACTCTACTCTACTCTAACCTACTCTATTCTACTCTAACTTTCTCTACTCTACTCTACTCTACTCTAACTTACTCTACTCTAACCTACTCTATACTCTACTCTACTATAACTTACTCTACTCTACTCTTCTTAACCTGATGGTCTCTTGTTTTTCACAGACAGTGGTAAAGAGGCAGCTCCAGCCATGAGTGAGTCAATGTTTTTATCACTGATGCTAAGACTGTGTTTGAGTCAGAAGATTTGATATTGTAATTGTATTATAATTAGTTATTATAATTTTCCAATATCTCTGTGTAAATATAGATTGTTCTAAATATTTATTATTATTATTTTTTATTGTTAGTCTATTCATTTTTTTAATATATATATAATATATATATATATATATATATATATATATATATATATATATATATATATATATATATATATATTATATATATATTATGATATGATTTATGAGTGATATTTGTGCATGTTTTGTTGGTCCTCAGTTCCCACCAAGCGCCCCACTCCCTCCAGTAAGTCCACGATCACTTCTCTTTATTTTCTTCTCTTTAGATTATCTTTAGATTGTCTTTAGTTTTTTTTTAGTTTCACTTTAGTTTCTCTGAGTCAATATTATTTCTCTGTCGTTTCTGCAGAAGGCTCTGATGGCTTCAATCTGGAGGACGCTCTGTCGCCCGCGGATCCTGGTAACTTCTCCCACTTCATTCAAAATTACAAGACATCTCATTCCTCCTCTCACAAACTGCTCTGATTGGTCCAAACAGGGAAGAGCGGCGCCGCAGACCAGACCGACATCATACGTGAGTTTCACCTCAGTCACAGACCTGGAGCTGTGTTTGGCTCCATCCAGGCTGAGAACAGGAACAGGCACAGACTTGTAGCTCCGCCCCCTTTCTCTCTCAAAGCTTCTGTCTCCGTTCTGTAATGTATGATGTCATCGTACCACACTGTGACATCACATTCAGAGACACTTGTTTTCTGACTTTTTAAACAAAAGTATTTCTCTCGTATTAGTTTTGGAGATGTATCAGATAGAATGACAATCTTTACTCTCTCTCCTCTCTCTATAATCTCCTCTCTTATTTGTCCTCTCTCTTCTTTCTGCTCCTCTCCTCTCTCTCTTCTTTCTCCTCTCTCTTTTTCCCCTCTATTCTCTCTCCTTTCTCTCATCTCCTTCTCTCCTCCCTCTCCTCTCATCTCTTCCTCTCTCCACTCTCCACTTCTCCTATTCCTCCTCTCTCTTCTCTGCTCTCATCTCCTCCTCTCCTCCTCTCCTCCTCTCTTCTCTCAAAGAAGACAAAGACATTTTGACGCTTCATACTGTACTCGTTTCTTGTTTATTTCCAACAGAACAGATTATTTCACCATCGAACACGATAGACTGTATACAGATGGACAATGCTAATCCGCTAGCTCGATGAAGCCCAGTAGGGAAGTGCTCGTGGACAAAGTTTTGGTGGTCCTGGTGTGAATCTGAGTGTGTGTTCTCAGAGGCTCTGGCTGAGATCCGGAAGCGTCTGGACGTTCTGATGGAGGTGGAGAACACACAGATGCGGCTGCTGCAGCAGAGGAACAGATGCTGATCGGACCATGTAATTCAAACTGTTTAATTGTTGCAAAATGTCTTATAGTTTTTTGATCTTGCTCTAAATCTAATGACCTAAAATCTCTCTTATTTCTTGCTTCACAGACTGTCTCCCAGTAGAACTACATTTCATTTCAATAAAGATCTTGTGTAAAGTTTGACACCTTTATTTGCATTACTTTTACATGATAAGCCACGTTAAAGAGAGAGACCAGAGAAAGAGAGAGAGACAGATACCAGAAAGAGAGAGATATCAGGGAGAGACAGATACAGAGAGAGAGAGAGACCAGAGAAATAGAGAGATTGAGACCAGAGAGAGAGATACCAGAGAAAGAGAGAGAGAGAGACCAGAGAGGATGAGGGAGAGAGAGAGCGAGAGATACCAGAGAGAGAGATTCCTGAAAGATAGAGAGACCAGAGAGAGAGAGAGCAGAGAGAGGGAGACCAGTGAGAGAGAGAGACCAGAGCGAGAGAGAGATCACTGATGCGTGTGTTGAGACACGTGTACTACTCGTTATTATTATTATGTATCAATGGTGCTGCTCCCTCAGTCCTGGTCAGACTGGTGAACAAATGATTATTAGAATTAGAGTTTCCTTTCTTTTCATGACTATTGACTGTAGATTCACACCAGGCTGTCATACTTTTTTTTAGTATGTACATAATTCCACATGAGTTAATTCATAGTTGTGATGCCTTCAGTGTGAATCTACAACTTTCCTAATCATGAAAATAAAAATAAAAACTCTTTGAATGAGAAGGTGTGTCCAAACTTTTGGTCTGTACTGTATATATATAATACTATATGTATGGTACATGTAATATTATTTATTATATTACACAAGTTGACAGCCAAAAAATGGTCAGGGGTTTCTCAACTGATTTAGACTAATGTTGGTGTTCTGAGTCCGAATATCACAAAGTTGCTCTATCAGGTCAACTTTTTGAGATACAGTCATAGTGTTACGGATTATGTACGTCTACGTTATTATGAATTCTGCTTATCAAATTTGATGGAGTAAATAAAAACTGAATGACTTTGGATACGTTGATTTTTATTTCTTGAGGAAAACGGAAAAGACGTAAAGGGTTTCTCAGCTGATGATCCGCAGAAATTTGTTTTTTTACGCAAAATCAATTAAAAAAAATATTTCTGTAGCAAAAAATCCTGACCTGATTGAGCAAAACCAAGGTCATTTTCGGACTCAGAGCATCAAAAGTCAAAAAGTCTAATTCAGCTGGAAAACCCTGGACTATTTTCAAAAAATATTTGTTTGTTATGTTATAGATTGACAGTCCTCACGTTGCTTTCACATGTTAACCAGCAGATGGCGCCATATCCTTACTTTAAAACAGCTGAACTCTCCCGTATAGCTCCATGACTTTATAAAACCCAACCCCGCTCACTAACAATACATTTGTACACATTTATAACAGTTTAGATTACAAATAAGGCAAACACATAATTTTAACTAAACATTTTGCATACTTAAACCCCTATCTTAAACTCGGCTTGGTTACTTATCCAGTATTTGACTCTATAAAAACAATAATCTGAGGTTTTGAACGCCTCTGGTTTGACTTTTATTAGGAGGGCGTTGACCACGGCTGTAATTTGACTCTGTCCTGTTTCTGTCTCACGCAAACCAGGCTCCACACAGGACGGGACACTCAAGCACTTTTATTTAGATTTTACCTGTTTATTTTTAACCTTTTAAAACTTAGATTAAACATGAAGCTGTTTTTCAGGATCGCGGGTGTATTATTGCTGCTGACGGGAACGATTGCAGACTTCGGTGAGTTTTGTGACTTGTTAATAAGGGAAAAAAGTTGTGTTTACTTCAAAAAGCGGCTACTGCGAACTGGATATGAAATAGCTGTGTGCCATCTGCGTATGCGCTATTTACTTTTAAACTTATTTTTGTGGGTTTAAATGAGTTTTTCCATTCGCCCAGCAGCAGAAGCAGAAATCCTGAGACTGTTTTTGGTTCATGAATCACGTCTGCACAACGCGTCCTATTTTTAAGCCGCGGGCTCAAAATAACAAATGCATTTATTTAAAAAACACTGTAGACATTGTTTATAGTGTTCAGTTTATGCAGTGCACGAGAGGCGTGGTCCAGGGTCACGCCAATGTGCTGCGGTCAGATCAGATCAGAGGAGACGTCACACTGGGCTGTACAGAGTCAATGGGAATGGGATTTATTCACATATATAATTGGGAAAACGTCCAAAAAACATCCATCAATTTTTTTCCGTTTTACATTATCCATGGCCTAATCAGAGAGGTCCATACTTCCCTAGTCTCCACATCCACTTCCTCCAGCTCATCTGGGGGAATTCTGAAGCGTTCCCGGTGCGCTAAGAGACCATAGTCCCTCTGAGTCCTGGGTCTTCCCCTGGTCCCCTCCTGGTGGAACATGTCCAGAGCACCTCCCCAAGGAGGCGTCCAGGAGGCATCCCAAACAGATGTGCCACCTCAACTGGCTCCTCTCCGTGTAGAGGAGCAGCGGCTCTACTCCAAACTCCTCACATGTGACTGAGTCCCTCACCCTATCTCTAAGGAACCACTTGTGAGAGACCAGAGAGAGAGACCAGAGTGAGAGATCAGAGTGAGATCAGAGTGAGATCAGAGTGAGATCAGAGTGAGACCAGAGTGAGACCAGAGTGAGGGACCAGAGTGAGGGACCAGAGTGAGAGACCAGAGTGAGAGACCAGAGTGAGAGACCAGAGTGAGAGACCAGAGTGAGAGACCAAAGTGAGAGCCCAGAGTGAGAGACCAGAGTGAGGTCAGAGTGAGAGACCAGTGAGAGAGAGAGACACCAGAGACACCAGAGACACGAGAGAGACCAGAGAGGCCAGAGAGAGCCCACAGAGAGAGACCAGTGTAAGACCAGAGGTGAGGGAGGGAATATAATTAAATTTAAAATAAGTTTACAGTAAATATATAACATTGTATTCTCAAAGTAATGTAATATTTTGGATCAAAGCCGATGAGAAGCCGTTTTCTACAAAGTCAGCGTTGTGCAGAACTTCCCCTTGAGCTGTGGTGGTTTTATCATAGTTAGGTTGTGTTACAGAGAGTTTCCTCTGAATAAAACCACAACGGCAAAATGGCACGAGATTCAAGGCTGAGTCACGGATTGAAAACATGTGACACGAGAGAGCGGAGATTATGAGCACAGAAGATAATGTTACGCTTTACTTTTGTGATTTAGATTCTGGATTCAAGTAACAATTTGAATGTGTTTTGACCTGTAGCCCTAACCCTTGGAATAAGCCAGTAATAAGGCTGTAGATCCAGGACTGAGGCTGTAGATCCAGGACTGAGGCTGTAGATCCAGGACTGAGGCTGTAGATCCAGGTCTGAGGCTGTAGATCCAGGTCTGAGGCTGTAGATCCAGGTCTGAGGCTGTAGATCCAGGACTGAGGCTGTAGATCCAGGACTGAGGCTGTAGACCCAGGACTGAGGCTGTAGATCCAGGTCTGAGGCTGTAGATCCAGGTAGACCCAGGACTGAGGCTGTAGATCCAGGTCTGAAGCTGTAGATCCAGGACTGAGGCTGTAGATCCAGGACTTTGCCCGCCCTGACCAGATTTTTAACCCAGAAACACAGTCAGATTTGGCCTCTGTTTATCGTATGTTGAATTGTAAGAATCTGTTTATCACTGAAACCTGTGTCTGAATGTGTTTGTGTCTTAGCAACAGTAAACATCTCAAGTATGCACAGACCATAATGACTCAGGTCACACTTCCCATTGTTTCGCTGCTATAGAAACGTATAGGAACAAAAACACAAAGTTTTTAAAGTGGATAAAAATTACTTAGCGTGTGTCTGTGTGTGTGTGTGTGTTTGTATGTTTTGTATGTGTATTACAACTTTTGACCTTTTTTCAATGGTTTTCCGTTGGTACAATAAAACACAAAATGCCAAGATAATGTCAACAAAGTCAATTTTTAGATTTTGCTTTTTGACACACACACACACATACAACTATTGTCTAAACTAAACTAAAGTTTTGAATGTTGTGTTGTTGTCCTCAGACCTCTCCGATGCTCTGGATGACGGTAAGAATCAGATCAAAATTCAGCTGCATAATGACATTAAAATGAGGTCTAGATCCAGAGCAGATCCAGATTCACACTCGGAGAAAGAATCGGTTTAAATGTTTGTTTCTGTGATTCGGTAGATAATCCCAAAGCCACAGAACCTCCTGCTCCTCCCAAGACAAACGGTGAGGCTTCTGGGAATTATTTATGTATTTATTATTATTATTGTATTAATTTATCATTTTAAATACATGTCATTGTATAAATACATTTTATATATTTATATTTTTTATTATTCTTTTATTTGGCATTTTTGCATTTTTGTTTTTTATCATTGAATTTAATTGTAATTTAAAGTAATCTAAACACCTAGTATTTATACATTTATTTATTTGATTTTAGTTTGTACATATATATGCAGTATTCATTTTATATTGTATTTGAAATATTGATTTTTTAAATATCTTTTTTGTTACATTTTGTTATTTTTGTTTTGTCTCCAGATGATTTTGGGCTGGACCTGTCTGACGCACTCGGAGGTATGTGAACGCGGGTCTCTCCAGAAGTGTTTAGTTTAGTTTAGTTTAGTTTAGTTTATGTCTCTGTGCCTCTTTCAGCAGAAAAGTATAAAAATACAAATGAATAAAATAATAAACAACAAAACTCTGTGATGTTTGTATCTACTCCTCACTGTGATCCAGTCTCTACTCGCTTCATCAGAAACACTTTTCTCTGAGTTAATGCTGGAATAGAGATTGTCGTGTGGACTGATCCGATTGGCTCTTCGGTTGCCGTGTGGTTGCCGTGTGGTTGCTGTGACAGACTTTTGCCGAAAGGGTCTGGCTACTGGTTGTTTCCCTGACAACCTCTGCTCCTCCTGCCATTCACTTTCATTGGAAACTAGACCACGCTTAAGAATAATCTTTCAGGAACAGACCTCGCTCCTGATTGGCTCTGTGGTTGCCGTGAGGTTGCTGTGCGAGAATCGTGGCTCTAAACTCTTGCATCAGAAAACTAGCGATAAAGCCAAGAACTAGCCCCGGGTGTCCATGACCTGGAAAGACACCAGAGAGAGACATGAGAGAGAAAGACGAGATAGAGAGATCAGAGAGAGAGATCAGAGAGAGAGAGATGAGAGAGAGAGACCAGAGGGAGAGACCAGAGAGAGAGACCAGAGACAGAAACCAGAGAAAGACATGAGAGAGAAAGACGAGATTGAAAGACCAGAGAGAGACCGGATAGAGAAAGAGACATGAGAGGAGGAGAGATGAGAGAGAGAGAGACCAGAGAGACCAGAGAGAGAGAGACCAGAGTGAGAGGGACCAGAGTAAGAGATCGAAGGTAGAGACCAGAGAGAGAACAGATAGAGAGAGAAAATACATGAGATAAAGAGAGACCAGAGAGAGAGCACAAAGAGAGACCAGAGAGAGAGACTCTAAACTTTTGATTATTGTGTTCATGACCAGGTGATGATCCGGTGCCTCCCAAACCTCCAGTGGTCAACAAGCCCAGTGGAGGAGGTGAGACTTAAATGTATTCTGTCATGCTGTGATGGTGTCAGATTGTAGAACGAACATAACACTGCGGTTGTTTTCTTTGAAGGCAGTGGAGGAACTATAAAAGACTCAGACTTGTTCGACATTGGGGGCTACGAACCAGAGGGAGGAAAGTACGACGGGAATGGAGGTAATTTTAACATCACAAAAGTATGAAAACTTTTGTCTGTGATGACACCACACCAGAGAGAGAGAGAGAGAGAGAGAGACCTCGTGAGAGATACCAGGGAGAGAGAGAGAGAGACCTGTGAGAGAGAGACCAGAGGGAGAGAGAGAGACCAGAGAGAGAGGGAGAGAGACCCGTGCGAGAGATACCAGAGAGAGAGAGAGAAACTTGTGAGAGAGATACCAGAGAGAGAGAGAGACCTGTGAGAGATACCAGGGAGAGAGAGAGAGAGAGACCTTTTTGAGAGAGAGACCAGGCAGAGAGAGATCAGAGGGAGAGAGACCAGAGAGAGAGGGAGAGAGACCCGTGCAAGAGATACCAGAAAGAGAGAGAGAGACCTGTGAGAGAGATACCAGGGAGAGAGAGAACACAGGGAGGGAGAGAGACCGGAGGGAGAGAGACCAGAGGGAGAGAGACCAGAGGGAGAGAGACCAGAGGGAGAGACTAGAGGGAGAGAGAGAGACCAGAGAGAGGGAGAGAGACCTGTGAGAGAGATACCAGGGAGAGAGGGACCAGAGAGAGAGAGACCAGAAATAGAGACCTGTGTGTGAGAGAGAGAGTGCTGTGCTAAACAGACTCTTACTTAGTTTAATAGTTAGATACATTTTCAGTATGTGAGATGTAAAGTGTCTGTACAACAGAAGATGTGCTCTGTGCTTGTCTCTGTGGTTCTCTGTGGTTCTCTGTGGTTCTCTGTGCTTGTCTCTGTGGTTCTCTGTGGTTCTCTGTGCTTGTCTCTGTGGTTCTCTGTGCTTGTCTCTGTGGTTCTCTGTGGTTCTCTCTGGTTTTCTCTGGTTCTCTCTGGTTCTCTGTGGTTCTCTGTGGTTCTCTGTGCTTGTCTCTGTGGTTTTCTGTGGTTCTCTGTGGTTCTCTCTGGTTCTCTGTGGTTCTCTGTGCTTGTCTCTGTGGTTCTCTGTGGTTCTCTGTGCTTGTCTCTGTGGTTCTCTGTGCTTGCCTCTGTGGTTCTCTGTGGTTCTCTGTGCTTGTCTCTGTGGTTCTCTGTGGTTCTCTCTGGTTTTCTGTGGTTCTCTCTGGTTCTCTGTGGTTCTCTGTGCTTGTCTCTGTGGTTCTCTGTGCTTGTCTCTGTGGTTTTCTGTGGTTCTCTGTGGTTCTTTGTGCTTGTCTCTGTGGTTCTCTGTGGTTCTCTGTGCTTGTCTCTGTGGTTTTCTGTGGTTCTCTGTGCTTGTCTTGGTGCCACAGCTGCTGACTCAGGTTTTTTGGAGTCTCTCACACACAGGACCTGATCTGCCTTATTCTGACCATAAACTACTGTTGGAATCCATGATTAGTTTCACTGTAGTATCTAGAGACCAGAGAGAGAGACCAGAGAGAGAGACCAGAGAGAGACCAGAGAGAGAGACCAGAGAGAGAGACCAGAGAGAGACCAGAGAGAGAGACCAGAGAGAGAGACCAGAGAGAGAGACCAGAGAGAGAGACCAGAGAGAGAGACCAGAGAGAGACCAGAGAGAGAGACCAGAGAGAGAGACCAGAGAGAGAGACCAGAGAGAGACCAGAGAGAGACCAGAGAGAGAGACCAGAGAGAGAGACCAGAGAGAGACCAGAGAGAGAGACCAGAGAGAGAGACCAGAGAGAGAGACCAGAGAGAGAGACCAAAGGGAGACCAGAGAGAGAGACCAAAGGGAGACCAGAGAGAGAGACCAGAGAGAGACCAGAGAGAGACCAGAGAAAGACCAAAAGATCTGATGATCCTTAAAAAAAGAATGTAATTGTGTTAAAGTGATGTCACATGTTTCTAATTCAGAAATCTTATAAAATTCTTGTATTTAAACTTATTTCCTTGTTTTTCCCAAACGTAGGCGGAGCCGGGGATTCTGGGTACAACTCCAACAGTAAGCACTGACTCACACTTTGGCTTTTGACTTTTTCCAGTTACACCTAATTTCAAATCCATATATTTATGCTCAGGTTATTATTATTATTATTAATAATAATAATAATAATAATAATAATAATTCATCAAAAGACAAAAACTACATTGTTTGGACTTTAGCTTTAAGTCCAGACTCTACTCTCCTCTTTTTAGTCTTTTTAAAACAAAATGATTGCTTCAAACACTCTCTCTTCTCCCTCCCCTCTCCTCTCCCCTCTCCTTACTCCCCTCTCTCGTCCCTCTCCCCTCTCCTCTTTCCTTGCCCCTCTCCCCTCTCTCCCTTCTCCTCTCCCCTTTCTCCTCTCCCCCTCTCTCCTTGCCCCTCTCCCCTCTCTCCTCTCTCCCCTCTCTCCTCTCTCCTTATCTCCTCTCCTCTCTCCTTTCTCCCCTCTCCTCGCCCCTCTCTCCTCTCTTCTCTCCTTTCTCCCCTCTCCTCGCCCCTCTCTCCTCTCTTCTCTCCTTTCTCCCCTCTCCTCTCTCCCCTCTCCTCTCTCCCTTCTCCTCGCCCCTCTCCTCTCCCCTCTCTCCTCTCTCTCCCCCCTCTCTTCTCTCCTCTCTCTCCCCTCTCTTCTCTCCTTTCTCCCCACTCTCCTCTCCCCTCTCTCCTCTCTCTCTCCTTTCTCCCCTCTCCTCCCCCATCCCCCCTCTCCTCTCCGTGCCTGTGTATTAATGGACTCCTGTTGATTGTGTGCAGGTGGAGGAGATCAGCCGGTTCAAGGTAAAGTGCTTCTGTTTCTTCTTCCTGTCTTTGTCTCTGGTTTATTGTTGTTTCCGTTCCTTTGTCGTCCGCGCTCAGAGGTGTCACGTTGTTTATAACTCAGGCGTATGAGCAGAAGGGACGGGCCGACGGTCAGAACAAGGACTTTCCACAGCTTTAAACCATGTGTGATATCTCTGGTTCTTTCTTCACTCACACTTTCTCTGTCCACATTCTTCTTAAAGCTCAGGGACGTAACTTTCCAACCACAACAATAGAACGATGTCATAAAATCTATGTCACGGGTTTCTCACTCTCAAAACGGTTTTCATGTGGAAACTAGTGATATAATGAGAGCGAGAGAGACACTAGAGTGAGACTAGAGAGCGAGAGAGAGCAAGACGAGAGAGACTAGAGAGAGCAGAGAGAGAGACAAGAGAGAGAACAAGACTAGAGCGAGACTAGACAGAGCAGAAAGAGAGACAATAGGGAGAGTGAGACTAGAGAGCGAGAGAAACTGAAACAAGAGAGAGAGATCAGAAAGAGAGAGACCAGTGAGAGAGAGAAACCAGAAAGAGAGAGACCCAAAAAAGATCAGAAAGAGAGAGACAAGATAATATTTTTTTATAAATATAGTCTGATTTGTTAACATTTCACTTCCTTGTTTGGTTTGACATGTCTTGAGGTGTAGTGGTTCTTCTGGCACCCCCTTTACTATCTCTCGTTAGCTTCTCTTTGTTAGCATCACGCCATTAGCCTCAGTCGCTCTGGACCAGCTCTAAATAGTAACACTAATTCTCATTAAGATCATTCTCATTGAAATGAATGATGTCATATAATATGTCACAAGTTTCTCTCTCTCAAAACAGTTTTCATGTGGAAATTAGTGATATAATCAGAGAGCAGAGAGAGAGAGCAGAGAGAGAGAGACCAGAGAGAGAGAGACCAGAGAGAGAGAGACCAGAGAGAGAGAGACCAGAGAGAGAGACCAGAGAGAGTTCAGACATGGGGCAACTGAAAGTACTGTATCTTGGTGTGGAAGTGTTCTGGATGATGTTGGATTTTGAGTCTCGGTGACGGGAAAATGGTAGCTGTGAACTTTGGCTTAATGAGACTGAAGCAGAGACTGAAGCAGAGACTGAAGCAGAGACTGAAGCAGAGACTGAAGCAGAGACTGAAGCAGAGACTGGAGCAGAGACTGGAGCACAGACTGAAGCAGAGACTGGAGCAGAGACTGGAGCACAGACTGGAGCACAGACTGGAGCACAGACTGGAGCAGAGACTGGAGCAGAGACTAAACCCGGGGTTAAATCTCACGTAAACATTTCCCCTGAATAGCAGAGGAAAAAATAAATCCTTAAGAGGCTGGTGTTGTGTTTCTGGAATGTGCCAAAATGGCCTTCATTAAGCATTCAGCATTAAGACTCAAGTTCCAAACTGCCGTTGTGTCCTTAGGCAAGACACGTGTGACATCACTCACATTAGATAGATTAGTTATTACAGCAGCAACATACCACCACCGAACCTCTGTGAGAAAGGAGAGACTGAAGCAGAGACTGAAGCAGAGACTGAAGCAGAGACTGAAGCAGAGACCAGGGCAGCTCTAAAAGCAGCTCTAAAGCAGCCTGGTCCTGCGGTCTTTAAACTGCTCCGATGTGTCGTTGCAGATGCGGACTTTGAGTGGGGGCCTCTGCTGAAGATGATAAATGCTAACGTTCCAGAGGAGTTCTTTAAGTGGATCGGCAGCGTTAGAAATCAGATCACTCCGGTGTTAGAACGCTTTCTGGACCTTCTCTACTCTCTGCCCTCAGACGACAAACAGGAACTATGAATATACAGTATAAACATAACGCCTGGTTTTGACTGGAGACTTTAAAACTTTTTTTTTTTTTTTTTTAAAAAGCCTTCCTGAATACTGGAGCTACTGTTACAGCCCAATGCTAGTTTAGTCATTGGTCTCTCTCGTCTCTTTCTCTCTCTGGTCTCTTTCACTGGTCTCTCTCTCAGTTCTCTCTCTAGTCTATATCTCTAGTATCTCTCTGGTCTCTCTAGTCTCGCTCTGGTCTCTCTCTCAGGTCTCTCTCTCAGGTCTCTCTCTAGTCTATATCTTTAGTCTCGCTCTGTTCTCTCGCTATCTGGTCTTTCTCTGGCCTCTCTCTCTGAATTTTGAATTCAAAGTTACTGTAAGGTTTAGGGTTTTTGCAGTTGGAACATTTTGGTGGTACTTTTATTTTGTGGTGGAAAGTTTGTACTTTTTTTCTTGTGTGAAGTGGACCGACTTTAATAAACATGTTTAAAAGAATGAAGGTTGAGATATTGTGTGATCGAGTCATAGTCGAGAAATTCTATCTTAAAGCTGTGGAGCCAAATCCTTTTTTGACTGTCAGACCAGAGTGAGAGAGGTTAGAGAGGTTAGAGAGGTTAGAGAGGTTAGAGAGGTTAGAGAGGTTAGAGAGGTTAGAGAGGTTAGAGAGGTTAGAGAGGTTAGAGAGGTTAGAGAGAGAGACCAGACAGTGCAAACTAACGCAGAGACGGATTCAAACTGTTTAAATTCCAGGAACCAGAGACATGGCTTATATGACTTAGTTCTATTGTTGTGGTGTGAAAGTTACGTACCTCAGCTTTAGGAGGCAGTTTTAACGGTGGGAGCTGGTTTTCGCGCCTCCACACGCCTTTTGACTCTGAACATTCTTCACATAGTCCCCGCTGCAGTCATCAAACATGTGCGGTTTGAGAGCAGGAACCAGCTGATGCAGACGCTGCTTTCTCTCTGGTCTTTCTGTAGTCTCTCTCCCTGGTTTCTCTCTACTCTGTTTCTGGTCTTTCAAGAGTCTCTCTCTGGTCTCTCACTAGCCTCTCTCTAGTGTTTAGTGTTTATTTTGGGCATCTAGAAGATACAAAATAAATGATACAAAAGAGATGCATAGAACAAAACAATAGCCCAAAGGGGAGTTATCTGGGCCTGACCCCCTGTTACCAATACCCATCACTGATAATGTTATGATACTTACATGTACATACATTACTACATATATATACATACTGTACATATGCACACATACATATACACATATATGCATATATACACATATATGCATATATACACACGCACAAATGCAATACATAAACACACAGACATACATATATATACACAATACATTTAACATATACATACATACAGGCCCGTCCTAAGGGCTGTGCGACCTGTGCCATCGCACAGGGCCTCGCACCACACAGGGGCCTCGCAATCTTCCTTCCTTTTATTTTATTTTATAAATACACTAGTTCAAGGGTCCCCAAAGGGCAGACTGCACTCCAAATTTGGAACCCTAAACCCCTTTCTCTGGACCTCTTTGATTTCGTTTGATCAAAAGAACATTTTTACAAGTAAAGTCAAATTTTCACCAAAAGCGATTTGTAAACAGGCAGGCGCGCGGGCAGCTATGTATGCAACGGGTCCTCCGAAAAAACTGTCAGATAACTTTAGCAGTGTCTGAGTGAGATACAAAGAAAGTAACGGGAATGATCGCAGTGTAGGAGAGATGGATACTCGCGGAGGAGGAGCAGTGAGACAGGTGTGAGCAGAGGAGCAGACCCCTTTGTGTGAGCAGAGGAGGAGGAGGAGGATCAGCGGTGTGACAGGTGTGTGAGCGCTGCTATTGCCAATGTTTAGTCCGAATATCCACATCAAAAACATATTTTTAAAAGCATTAGCAAACACACTGTATGTCTAGCTTTAGCTAGCTGGAGTGTTTTTGTTGTGGTCAGAGTGTGTGGAGGAGGAGGTGAAGAGTATTTTGTTGTTGTCAGCGTGGAGGAGGAGGAGTGTATGTTGTCAGAGTGTGTGGAGGCATGGCAAAAACGTTATTTGATGAGAAAAAAATAATATTGACTCCGCCTCATAGCCATTTTGGCGCATTTTGCCAAAATCTAACTATTAGAAGAAAAAGACTCCTTTTGGTTCAATCTTTTGAGTTGCTCTACCATTTTGCCACAGGACGAAAGAGACATGTCAGCTAAAAAGACCGCGACCAATATTGCACGTAGAGTGTGTGTGCGTGTGTACGTGCGCGCGCCAAACGCTGCATAGGAGCGAAGACACTCGGTTACACGCGTGCTGATCTCGTCAAGCACCGCGCGAGGTGGTGCTGAATTCATGTCAAAGATTATAACAGGAAAAACTTTCCTCAGATCTGGGAAAAAAGTGTCAGGGCAGGGCCTCGCGTTTCGAGTTCGCACAGGGCCTCGCACCCTCCTTGGGACGGGCCTGCATATATACATACATACATACACACACATTTATGCAATACACATTTAACCTACTTATATGTACACGTACAAAAATTTGACATACATATATATCACACACACCTGTACTTCACCTACTTATAACTCAACTCTCAACATGCACCCACACATGTATTTATTATTATATTATATTCTATCATTTTTATTTTTTTGCATATGTTATCATTTTTTTTATTATTACTAAGCTTCAAGCTGTACTATTACGTGAACAACAATACTAGTTGCATTTAAATCTGAAGAAAGGCTTTAAAACAGCATCAAGAAATATTATTTACCTACGTACCTAACTTTAAGGATTTTCGAGTTTATCATAACATGGTTCATGAAGAGTCCAACTGGAAAAAAAATAAAAATGTACAGATTAAACCTTTGATCATAAACTGAATAAAGAACGGGTATCTGCAATGTGCTGCAGGAAGACCAAGTCACCAATGCCACTCCTGTCGATAGTCACCTGTCACAGATATGAGTTAATTTATAATCTGGGGTCAAGCTACTCCACCTGGTCACAACTCACAACCATCTCTGCTGCCATACAGATTTATCTTTGAGTGTGTGTATATATTTTGTTATTATTATGTTACTGTTATTGTAAATAATCTTCTTTTACATATATATATATATACAGTATACATATATATACATACCTGTACCCATACATATATATACATGTCAAATCTAGGGTATTATGTTAGACTGTTATGAATGGTTGCCCTTACTGTACTAGTGTAGTGCATTAAAAGGCCATGGTGAAAAGCGGCCCATTGAGAGAGGTACATGCCCCCAATCAAAGAGCCCCGCCCCTGGCTGCCCTATCTCGTGGAGACTGTGGTTGATTACTTCCTGAGCTGTGCAATGCAGCTGTGCAATGCAGCTGTGTAATGCAGCTGTATAATTCAGCTGTGTAATGCAGTGGGCAACAGTAACAAGTAGCACAACCTCAGTGATTGAATGATTTCCAAATTATCATAAGAAATTAAACCCCTCCATTGGCACTATATTCTAGAAAAGCTTTTACTTTATACATTCTCTTGAATTTGTAAAGAGTTGGGCACTGCTTGAGATCTTCCCCCAACCCATTCCAGAGCCAGACCCCTTTTACGGAAACACACAGACTTTTTCTGGTTGAATGCACCATCGGCACTTTAAAGATCAAACATCCTCTTAGATCATATTCTCCAACTCTCATTCCAAACAGTTCTTGAATTTCAGATGGTAACAACAAATTTGCAGCTTTATATAATAGTTGTACTGTATACAGGTCAACTAAATCATACAGTTTTAATAATTTCAAGTGCAAAATTTTTTATTGGAGTGCTCATAATATCCAGCCTTGTTAATTGTTCTAATTGCTCGTTTCTGGAGTATGAATAGAGAATGTAATGAACTTTTATAATTGTTGCCCCAAATATCTATCCCGTATATCAGATACGACATGAGATATTGTTTTGAATGTGTCTGATGTGCGGTTTCCAGTTCAGTTTATCATCAATCATCAATAATCATTCCTAAAAATTTGTTTTCAGACACCCTTTCTATTGTAAAACCATTTATAGTAATTGCCCGATCAGGATAAGTGCATTTACCAAAAATCCTTACTTTATTTTTATTTAAGTTTAGTGAAAGCTTATTAATATCCATCCATGATTTTATCTTAGTCAATTCCAGATTTGCTATATCGATAAGATTGTTGTAATTATCATTAGAATAAAACATATTGGTGTCATCAGGAAATAATATCTTTCTTAACACTTTAGACACATTGAATACATCATTTATATACATTTTGAATAATTTTGGACCCAATATGGATCCTTGAGGAACACCACAGACTATGTTGTGACATTTGGACTCCCACTCTCTCTGGTCTCTCTCTGGTCTCTCTCTGGTCTCTCTCTGGTCTCTCTCTGGTCTCTCTCTAGTCTCTCTCTGGTCTCTCTCTGGTCTCTCTCTTTTTTTAATCTTTTTTTTTTATCAGCCAAGTGGTGTTTGTGTTTGTGATGCATGATTAAACTTCGTAGTAGTGCAGCAGCAGCAGCAGCAGTAATGGTTCTTTACTAGTATACTTTATTTACTTCTGTCTATTCTCTGTGATTGGCCTGACCTGCAGAATCAATGAAAGCCTCGCCCTGATGCCACTGCACTTTCTTCTTGTGCAGAATAAAGAGAGACCTCGCTGGTCTCTCTTTATTCTATAAATATTTAAAATCAGCCACGTGATGTCTGTAATGCAAAATTAAAAAGGAAAAAGAGGAAGCAGCAGCAGCAGCAGCAGTATCATCAAAGTCGTCCTTTACTTCTGTCTACTTCTTTCTGATCGGCCTGACCTGCAGAATGAATGAATGGCTGTGATCACACTTTCTCTCTCTCTGTTGTGACCGCGGGGCCCCTCCTCTCTGACGCATGAGTCAGTCCGCTCTGAGGGGCCACACCCTGAACCAGGGCGTGAAGATCCCGCTTTAATCCACACGTTCTATTGTACAGACTGTGCTTACAGACAGTTTATACAGACCTCTGCGCTCCTGTGCAGTTCAGAGACGTGTGGGCGTGGTCTGCGTGGATCAGAACACATACAGAAGCGGGTCTGTCCGGTTCTGGAGAATATAAAATTCACAGGTTGGAAATGAGAAACGGCTGTGGGTGTGGGCTGCCCTCTGGTGGCGACGTCTGGAACAGCAATTATTAAATGATCTATGTTTGGACCTGGGTTATGGCTCATTCAGTTCCATTTGATTTGTGTATAACCCTTCATCACAGCAGCGGCTGTCACGGAGAACTCTACACATTTGTCGATCGCCAACAAAAGTATTGAGGACCAAAACAATCAATAAACACACACACATGCATTTGTTTGCAAAATTAAATCTATTCTGAACATTTATTGATATATTTATCATTTGGTCCTTTATAGGTCACAGAATCAAAGAGTTCGAACACATGCAATAATAAACACATATGAGTTGTTGGTCCATTGGAGGAGCGGTAAATACATGTCCAGGATCATCACTTTCTTTTGTATCGGCAAGGGACCACTCAGGAACTCCAGGACTGAGGCTGTAGACCCAGGACTGGGGCTGTAGATCCAGGACCGAGGCTGTAGATCCAGGACTGGGGCTGTAGATCCAGGACTGAGGCTGTAGATCCAGGACTAAGGCTGTAGATCCAGGACTAAGGCTGTAGATCCAGGACTAAGGCTGTAGATCCAGGACTAAGGCTGTAGATCCAGGACTAAGGCTGTAGATCCAGGACTAAGGCTGTAGATCCAGGACTAAGGCTGTAGATCCAGGACTAAGGCTGTAGATCCAGGACTGGGGCTGCGGTCACTTAAAATGGGCCTAGGCTCAGATCGCGATTAGATTCGGGTTTTAGGTTCCGTGTGTGACCGCGGAAACTGGACTTAAGCAAGTTTGAAAGAGGTGGGCCTGAGCACGGTTGTAAAGCCTCGATGTGGGGGTTGTTGTGGACGTGATATTGTGCGACTTCCTGCTGCAACCGCTGTGACGTGAAATTTTCGCACACGACTTTAACCTGCAGTCTCGTACTTTGGCGTCAATCTCTTCTTTGATTGTGTTACACCTCCAGGGCTGAAGGGACGAGTTTTTCACTGTTCTGACCCTTCAAGCTGTTATTCAAGAGTCAGACTTTATTTTGTGTCTCTCTCTCTGTCTGTGTGTCGTGTGTGTGTGTGTGTGTGTGTGTGTGTGTGTGTGTGTGTGTGTGTGTGTGTGTGTGTGTGTGTGTGTGTGTGTGTGTGTGTGTGTGTGTGTGTGTGTGTGTGTGTGTGTGTGTGTGTGTGTGTGTGTGTGTGTGTGTGTGTGGGTTGTGTGTGTAGAAGCCGGCTCTGGACAGATCGCAGGTATCGTGAGTGCAGTGGGTGTGGCTCTGCTCGGGGCGGCCTCCAGTTACTTTGCCTATCAGAAGAAGAAACTGTGCTTCAAGATACAAGGAGGTCAGTGACACACACACACACACACACACACACACACACACACACACACACACACACACACACACACACACACACACACACAGTCTTTGCTAATTTTTGTGTTTTCAGGTCAAGACCCGGAAAGTGGGAACCGACACGTGACGCAGTCTGAGCCTCAAGGTGAGAGACGTTCACAATATTCTGTTCTCGCTCTGTCCTCGAAGAACCAGGTTAAGACTGGATTCACTTGAGGAAAAGAGTGGAGTCTGGTCTCTCTCTGGTCTCTCTATGGTTTCTTTCTGGTCTCTCTCTGGTCTCTCTCTGGTTTCTCTCTGGTCTCTCTCTGGTCCCCTTCTGGTCTCTCTCTGGTCTCTCTCTGTTCCCTTTCTGGTCTCTCTCTGGTCTCTCTCTGGTCTCTCTCTGGTCTCTCTCTGGTCTCTCTCTGGTCCCTCTGGTCTCTCTCTGGTCTCTCTCTGGTCTTTCTCTGGTCCCTCTGGTCTCTCTCTGGTCCCTCTCTGGTCCCTCTCTGGTCCCTTTCTGGTCTCTCTCTGGTCTCTCTCTGGTCTCTCTCTCTGGTCTCTCTCTGGTCTCTCTCTGGTCTCTCTCTGGTCCCTCTGGTCTCTCTCTGGTGCCTTTCTGGTCTCTCTCTGGTCTCTCTCTGGTCTCTCTCTGGTCTCTCTCTGGTCCCTCTCTGGTCCCTTTCTGGTCTCTCTCTGGTCTCTCTCTGGTCTCTCTCTGGTCTCTCTCTGGTCTCTCTCTGGTCCCTCTCTGGTCCCTTTCTGGTCTCTCTCTGGTCTCTCTCTGGTGCCTCTCTCTGGTCTCTCTCCTCAGTCTCTGCTTTTGTTTTTGCCGTTTACAGAGAACAGAACGATTAAACAGTAGACATAATCGTCAAATAAAGGTTTCTCTTTTGTTTTCAATCAGTTAGATGTTTACAGTTTGTGACGATCAGTGGAAAAACTTTCTCGTCAGCGTTTGACCTGAAGATATTTGTGATTCTGATGAACATCCAGTAATCAGCAGTGAGTGCGACTGCTTTTGTTTTCTCCGCAGCCTGCTGAACCGTAAAAAAATCAGCCACACTGCAAAAAGATATGGAAAATAAGCCAAAGAATACTCAAATTTTGCAAAATGTATCCAAATTTGAGAACATGTTGACTGCCTTAAAACAAGATTTAGCAATGGGACAAAACATTCTTGGAATGAGAAGATAATGCTACAGTTCTTGAAATAAGACTGAATGGCTTTGTCCCGTTGGAGAATCTTGTTTTAAGACAGAATGTGCTCAAATTAGGATGAAAACCACTCAATTTAAGTATATATGCCGCGTTCAGACCGGATCATGCGTTGCGTCGGCTTTCAATGCAAAGTCAATGGTGACGCACGTTCGAGCGTCAAAATGCATGTGCGTCTTGGAATGCATGCACGGACTGCGCGGTAGAGACGCACGGACTGCACGGCAAAGTCGAAGGGGAAGCACAGGAGCGAAAAATCGACGCACGCAGGAGATGAATTTTTCTGAGCGTTTCCTCTGACGTTTGGTCAGCGACCAATCAGAGAGCCGCAATGTGAGACATTAGTGGTCTGAGCGAGCAGACTGAACATACTGTAAACAGCCAAAACGGGAGCTACACCAGCTCCCGAACTAAACCAGGGTTGACGATGAGGGACATATGTGTTTGTGAACATATGTGTTTTTATGCTCCTGTGACTTTATGCAACTGCTTCGAGTGTGTTTGCTGATGCAGAAGTACCGTTTAAAGCTGCACTAACTGACTTTATTTTTGTATTCATTACAAAAATACTATCCATGTCCATGTAGTGCATTGGGATATACGTCCTTTTGAAGAAAAAGTAGCACAGATTTGTGCTGGCGTGACATTATATTTTAGATCGAGTTTTGATGAAACAAGAAAGAGAATGTGTTTCGGGTCGCAGATTGTGACCAATCACAGCGGACCACTGGCCCCCACTTTCGTGAGAAATCTACAGGTCCGTTAGCATAGACAGCTGAGTTAGCACAGGTTACTGCTTACACAGCGAAACAGCCATCCAAAAGAAAGTCTCGTTCCTCCGCGCTTCCTGGTTCTATCGTTCTATGGTCACGCCATCCACATGAAAATCCATATCCATGTATTATCCATATTGGGAGACGCTAGCTCCGTCAACAACAGTGGGTGTGTGTGGGGGGGGCGATAGCTTCATGGGTGCTGGGAGGGGAGCAAAAGAGCGAGGCCAGCGAGTCCGTGGCTTCAAAATCCCAAAGTCAGTTAGTGCAGCTTTAATAATAAAATAAACTCATTGCGCACCTCTGTGAACACATACTACTGTTATATAAAGTCCGTGGAAGGGCTCTGAACACAGACACCCTGCAAAGCTGCATTATTGGAGAAGAACTTTACACAAGAAGACCTAGCATAACTCCGTTTGCATCAAAGCCCGCCGGCTACTTCCGCCACTTCCGGCGCTGGCCAGGACGTTCTGGTGTGAAGACCTCTGCGTCTGAAAACTAGAGAAAGTGCCGTTGGTGAGCGAGGCTTCAGCGTTCCAGCGTTGGCGGTGTGAAAGCAGCTTTATAACCTTATATTTTATCATTTTTTGCAGTGTGCACGTATTTTGGCCTCACGACGAAGCGTTCAGTCGTGTCACAGGCGTTAATAAAAGCAATAACAAACTTGACGGCGTTAAAATGTGTTATTGAAGCGTTTAACTGACAGCGCTGATGTACTGTATACAAATAAACTGGTCCTCGCTCCTGCTGGTCGATGCTGTAAAACTGATCATAATTGTCTGTTGCAGTGATGAGTAACCTGATCCAGTCCTGATCCAGTCCTGATCCAGTCCTAGTCCAGTCCTGATCCAGTCCTAAACCAGTCCTGATCCAGTCCTAATCCAGTCCTGATCCAGTCCTGATCCAGTCCTAATCCAGTCCTGATCCAGTCCTGATCCAGTCCTGATCCAGTCCTAATCCAGTCCTGATCCAGTCCTGATCCAGTCCTGATCCAGTCCTGATCCAGACACTAACGACTCGTCCACAAAAGCACACCAAACTCATCCTCTCGTGCTTGATTCTCCGTCGGTTTCTCTGCTTCTGTTTTAAAAATGCTTTTGCTTCGCTGCCTCCAGACGACTGTAGACTTTAAGGGTTTGAACTCGACACGAAGGATTAGAGCCAGAGTTTAAAGTTCTGTTAAAGCTCTTTATTAGTACTTTATGTTTGTCTGTGGATTCTAGAGCCTGGAAAATGTAAAAAATCACCACAGAATTGTACAAACGTGTTTTTTAACGAATTCAGACTTAAGTTATATGACCTTTTTCTGCTCTCTCTCTCTCTCAGATTTTTCTCTCTGGTCTCTCTCTGGTTTCTCCCTATGGTCTTTCTCTTTGGTGTCTCTTCCTGGTCTCCCTCAAGTCTCTGTCAGGTCTCTCTCCCTGGTCTCCTTTTAGTCTCTCTCTGGTCTCTTTCTGGTCTCCCTCTAGTCTCTCAGGTCTCTCTCCCTGGTCTCCTTTTAGTCTCTCTCTGGTCTCTTTCTGGTCTCCCTCTATTCTCTCAGGTCTCTCTCCCTGGTCTCTCTTTAGTCTCTCTGTGGTCTCTTTCTGGTCTCTTTTTGGTCTCTCTCTAGTCTCTGTCAGGTCTCTCTCCCTGGTCTCTTTTTAGTCTCTCTGTGGTCTCTTTCTGGTCTCTTTTTGGTCTCTCTCTAGTCTCTGTCAAGTCTCACCCTGGTCTCCATTTAGTCTCTCTCTGTGCTTATTTTTAAAAGAGAAAAGACATAACATTTGAGATTTGCAGGCCTCAATCCAGCTTTAGTTTTTAGTCAGAAATTAAAACCACTAAATTCCATTCTTTACGACCTCTTTTCTCCAACTAGACCACAGCATGTTAGATTTACGTATGCTGGTTTTAACACTTTGCAGAATCCTCAGAAAATGATGACAATTAAACCTATGCTCTTAAGTTAAAACAATAACATACAATTTATTTAACGCAGATCCAGGTCATTTTCACAGAATAAAAGCACATTTTGAGGTCATTTTTGTCTTTTTTTTTCAATGTAGAATTTTCAAAAACTTAATTAAACACAAGGCATTTGAAAAACAGACAAAATGCTTTGAATTGGAAAATATTCTAACAAATCGTATTAAAGCAAGTTTATTTGAGTAGCACTGTTCATACACAAGGCAAACTAACTGTTCTCACTCTCCGCAGCTTAAATATATTTTATTATTTAGTCTCTTTTTCGCGCGGGCTTTTGTTCTGTTGTAAATAGCTGTTGTGTACAGATGCTAACAATGCTAACGCTGTCAATTTGAAGTTTGATACATGATTCATGAATGTTCTGTTTTTTGAGTGGATTAAATTTCAATAAAGTGGTTTTGTCTGTTTTTGTTTTCTTTTTCACTTTTGTGCCTTTTGTTAAATCTACGTTAAACAGTTACAGACCTGTATCCTCACACGTACAACAACTTCTAGCTGGTCTCTTGCTAGCCCCGCTCAATCTCTGGTCTCTCTTTCTGGTGTCTCTCTCTGGTTTTTCCCTGGTCTCACCCCCGGGTATCTATGGTCTTGCCTTCTCGCCTCTCGATGGTCAAGAGCAGACAGTTCCAGACCTAATAACCTCACACAAACCTATTTTAGCTGGAAGAATGGGCCAGAATTCCAACAAACTTTTGCAATCCAATTTTGTTATCTTGAACACAGATCAAAACTCCAAAACTAGAAAAAACATGGAAACGTGAAATAATCTAACATGGGTAAGTGACTTTTACTTATGATTTTGATAATAAAAAACTATACTACTTACTATAATATTTTAGTGACAGAAATGTGAATAGAGCTGAAGCATGTTATGGTTTTATTTGTGGCCACATGTTACTTTAAATTAGCTCAACGCGGTGAGACTTTCTGATTGGTAAAACGATGGAGGGCAGGACTTCAAAATGAAAAGAATAACAAAAGTTACGGGCTGTTATCAGTTAAATAAGTATTCAAAAAGATTAGAGCCATTTAATAACGACTTGACATGAAAATCTTATATTTTGCTACTTTAAATCATGAACTTAGTAGATATAACAAAAAAAACAAGGAAAGATCATTTGTCTAATCTTATGTTAATAAATAATTAATATATATAAAAGGCCTTGTGTTTGTACTCATTAAAACATTTTTTATTTTATTTTTTTCAAACAAAACACTTCCTCCCATCAGTGTGTAATGTCTCTGTTGTATGAGTAACATTTAAATGATAATTAATGTGATTTTCTGCTTTTTAAACCAAAAGTATCGCTCCACATGACTCTCTCGTCGTACGTCACGGCGTCAGTTTGTTGATACAGTGAAACTTTGCTTTGCGCTCCGTGAACTGACCCTTGTCCAGTGTCACTCCCCCTTTCCCAACATGTGGTCCCCTCCCAGCTTTAAATACCAAGCACTTTCCCTCACCGCTGCCCAGTCCAGTGAAGTCCAGACTGAGATGAGCCAGGAGCCAATCACATGAGCCGCGGTTTAGGAGTTTTGAATTTCTCACAGAATCGCCATGTTAGGTACGTTTTACTCTGAGTCTAAAACCAGAACATAAAGCTGGGGTACCTAAACCGCAAGAATATTTAGCTGTGTAAAAATAATCCATGTCACAAGTTAATCTTTTTCACATCATGTATCTCTAACCTCTGTCTCATCTTTAGGTCAGCTTTTTCACAGGTGTCTCTCTGGGCTCTCTCTCTGGTCCCTCTCTCTGGTCTCTCTCTCTGGTCTCTCTCTTTGGTCTCTCTGGTCTCTCTCTTTGGTCTCTCTGGTCTCATGGTCTCTCTCTCTGGTCCCTCTCTCTGGTCTCTCTCTTTGGTCTCTCTCTCTGGGCCCTCTCTCTGGTCTCTCTCTCTGGTCTCTCTCTCTGGTCTCTCTCTTTGGTCTCTCTCTCTGGTCTCTCTCTGGTCCCTCTCTCTGGTCTCTCTCTTTGGTCTCTCTCTCTGGTCCCTCTCTCTGGTCTCTCTCTCTGGTCTCTCTCTCTGGTCTCTCTCTCTGGTCTCTCTCTCTGGTCCCTCTCTCTGGTCTCTCTCTCTGGTCTCTCTCTCTGGTCTCTCTCTCTTGGTCTCTCTCTCTGGTCTCTCTCTCTGGTCCCTCTCTCTGGTCTCTCTCTCTGGTCTCTCTCTTTGGTCTCTCTGGTCCCTCTCTCTGGTCCCTCTCTCTGGTCTCTCTCTGGTGAAAAGTGAGTGCCTTTTTCTGTTGAGACAAATGAAAATATTTATTTTATGAAAGTTTGGTACCTTGGCTTTAAGTTGTGCATCTTCAATGAACTGCAGGTTGGCAACACAAAAAATATTACAATTTTCCAGAGAGAGGAGAGGAGAAAGAGAGAGTAGAGAGGAGAGGATCCAGAGGAGAGAGGAGAGGATATAGAGGATAGGGGAGGAGAAAGAAGAGAGTTGACAAGAGAATAATAAAAAAAACTAGAATAATAAAAAAAAAAAATGTCCACTCACCTTTGGCCCTCCGCGGGCGGTTATCCCTCTCTAAGCTCGGGTCCTCTACCAGAGGCCAGGGAGCTTGAGGGTTCTGCGCAGTATCTTTGCTGTTCCTAGCACTGCACATTTCTGGACCGAGATGTCCGAGGTTGTTCCGGGGATCCGCTGTAACCACTCATCTAGCTTCGGGGTCACTGCCCCGAGTGCACCGATCACCACGGGCACTACTGTCACCTTTACCCTCCAGGCCCTCTCCAGCTCCTCTCTGAGACCTTGGTATTTCTCAAGCTTTTCATGTTCTTTTTTCCGGATGTTACCATCGCTTGGAATTGCCACGTCCACCACCACGGCTGTCCTCTGCCCTTTGTCTACCACCACGATGTCAGGTTGGTTTGCCATTACCATTCGGTCGGTCTGTATCTGGAAGTCCCACAGGATCTTCGCACGCTCATTTTCCACCACCTTTGGAGGAGTTTCCCACTTAGACCTTGGGGTTTCCAGCCCATACTCTCCACAGATGTTTCTGTACACTATGCCAGCCACTTGGTTATGGCGTTCCATGTAGGCCTTCCCTGCCAGCATCTTGCACCCTGCAGTTATGTGTTGGATCGTCTCAGGTGCCTCTTTGCACAACCGACACCTTGGGTCTTGTCTGGTGTGGTATATCTGGGCCTCTATCGCTCTGGTGCTCAGTGCCTGTTCCTGTGCAGCCATGATGAGTGCCTCTGTGCTGTCCTGTAGGCCAGCCCTTTCTAGCCATTGGTAGGACTTCTTGAGATCAGCCACTTCTGTTATGCTCCGGTGGTACATGCCGTGTAGGGGCTTGTTCTCCCATGATGGGCTCTCCTCCAGCACCTCCTCATCTCGCCACTGCCTGAGACATTCACTGAGTACGTCATCCGTTTTGGCCTTCTCCATGATGTAGTTATGGAGTTTGGATGTTTCGTCCTGGACAGTGGCTCTCACACTCACTAGTCCTCGGCCTCCTTCTTTACGGCTTACGTACAGTCTCAGGGTGCTGGATTTGGGATGGAACCCGCCATGCATGGTAAGGAGCTTTCGAGTTTTAACATCCGTGGTCTGAATCTCTTCCTTTGGCCACCTGATTATTCCTGCAGGGTATCTGATCACTGGCAGGGCGTAGCTGTTAATTGCCCGGGCCTTGTTCTTGCCATTGAGCCGGCTTCTTAGGACCTGCCTTACTCGCTGGAGGTATTTGGCAGTTGCCGCTTTCCTCGTCACCTGTTTGAGGTTGCCATTTGCCTGTGGTATACCGAGATACTTGTAACTGTCCTCAACGTCTGCTATTGTTCCCTCTGGGAGTGAGATCCCTTCTGTGTGGACTACCTTGCCTCTCCGAGTCACCATCCTGCTACATTTCTCGAGCCCGAATGACATCCCGATGTCATGGCTGTAGATCCTGGTTGTTTGGATCAGAGAGTCGATGTCTCTCTCGCTCTTGGCGTACAGCTTGATGTCATCCATGTAGAGGAGGTGACTGATCTTTGCTCCGTTCCTGAGGCGGTATCCATAGCCAGTCTGGTCAATTACTTGGCTTAGAGGGTTGAGGCCTATGCAGAACAGTAGTGGGGACAGAGCATCTCCTTGGTAGATACCACATTTGATGGTCACTTGTGCGAGCGGCTTGCCATTTGCCTCAAGGGTAGTCTTCCACATTCCCATCGAGTTTGCAACGAAGTCCCTTAGAGCCCTGTTGATATTGTACAACTTCAAGCATTCCATGATCCATGTGTGTGGCATTGAGTCGTAGGCTTTCTGGTAATCAATCCAGGCTGTGCACAGGTTGGTGTGTCGTGACCGGCAGTCTTGGGCGACTGTTCTGTCAACCAGGAGCTGGTGTTTGGCTCCTCTGGTGTCCCTACCAATGCCCTTCTGTGCTGTGCTCATGAATTGTTCCATATGCCCACTTATCTTAGCCGCAATGATGCCTGACATGAGCTTCCATGTTGTGGAGAGACAGGTTATTGGCCGGTAGTTGGAGGGGACTGCACCCTTGACAGGGTCCTTCATGATCAGGACCGTTCGCCCTTCGGTTAGCCATTCTGGGTGAGTCCCATCTCTCAGCAGCTGGTTCATTTGTGCTGCTAGGCGCTCATGGAGTGATGTGAGTGTCCTTAGCCAGTAGGCATGGACCATATCAGGGCCAGGTGCTGTCCAGTTTTTCATACCTGAGACTCTTTCTCGGATGTCTGCCTCTGTGATGGTAACTGAGTTCTGTTCTGGGAGGTGGCTGTGCTCCTCTCTCAGGGACACCAGCCATTGTGCACTTCTGTTATGTGCTGCATCCTTCTCCCATATGTTCCTCCAGAACTGTTCAGTTTCCAGCCTCGGTGGATCTGCTCCCCTGTTGTTACCCTGCCACTGAGCGTACACCTTCGCAGGTTGTGTTGCGAACAGCCTGTTCACCCTTCTGGCTTCATTCTCTTTAGTGTACCTCTGTAGGCGGCTGGCCAGGGCTTGGAGCCTTTGTTTGGCAGTTTCGAGTGCTTCAGGTATGGTCATCTGGCTGTACTTTCTGGGTACTGGTCTTTTCATTGCACCTCTCTGGGCCTCTGTTAATTGACTCACTTCTCTCCGAGCCGCCTTGATCTTAGGTGGGTATTGTCCATGGCTCCCATGGTTGCTCTTATAGCCAAGCATCTCTAGGATCACTGCTGCTGAAGTGTATATCAGCTCATTGGTTTCAGTGATTGTGGTGGTAGGTATTGCCCTCACTGCTGCATTCACGCTTTCTATGAGATCCTTAGGTGGTACTTCACACAACCGCTGTAACCGGTGTCTTTGCCCTGTGCCCATTCTAGCCATGATCTTAGCTTTCAGGTCAGTCGCTGCCTCGTTCAGCGTTATCGGTTCCATTGGGGCTATGTACCCAATATCTGGTTGGGGAGTTGCAGTTGGTGGGATCTCCCCTCTGACCTCGGCAACTGTGGCATCATATATGTGTTGTACTTCATCAATCTCAAGCTGTGATAGCAGTTGCCGTTTGTGGATGTTGGAGCATTGAGCTACCAGTTGTTTCGGGGTCAACTGTGACTGTGGGTTTCGAAGTAACCATTCAGCCCACATTCTCTGCATGTAACCTCTTTGGCCAGGGTTACTCGAGTAGTAGCATTCCAACAGAGCCCTGTTATCGCATCTCGTCCACTTTCGCCTTGTTCCAGTAGCCCACTTTTCATCAAGGTGCTCTGGTTCCCCAGCACCTGACGCAGACCTTGTTTGGCCGGGCGACGGCTGATCCGGCATCTCACAGCTTATTTGTACCTTCATGGTTATGAGTTAGGCAGTAGCATTAAGGGTCTTGCCCAAGGACCCTCACTGGATGTTGGTGTTAATGTGCTCCCGGTGGGATTTGAACCCTGGCCTCCCAGGTCCCAGTCCTGTGCCCTACCAGCTGCTAGCTGGATAGCAGCATATATATATATATATATATATATATATATATATATATATATATATATATATATATATATATATATATATATATAAAGTATTTGGCCCCCTTGAACCTTTCAACATTTCGCCACATTTCAGGCTTCAAACATAAAGATATAAAAACATTTTTTTTTGTCAAGAATCAACAACAAGTGGGACACAATCGTGAAGTGGAACAAAATGTATTGGATAAATTAAACTTTTTTAACAAATAAAAAACTGAAAAGTGGGGAGTGCAATATTATTCGGCCCCCTTGCGCTAATACTTTGTAGCGCCACCTTTTGCTGCAATTACAGCTGCAAGTCGCTTGGGGTATGTCTCTATCAGTTTTGCACATCGAGAGACTGGAATTCTTCCCCATTCTTCCTTGCAAAACAGCTCGAGCTCAGTGAGGTTGGATGGAGAGCGTTTGTGAACAGCAGTCTTCAGCTCTTTCCACAGATTCTCGATTGGATTCAGGTCTGGACTTTGACTTGGCCATTCTAACACCTGGATACGTCTATTTGTGAACCATTCCATTGTAGATTTGGCTTTATGTTTTGGATCATTGTCCTGTTGGAAGATAAATCTCCGTCCCAGTCTCAGGTCTTTTGCAGACTCCAACAGGTTTTCTTCCAGAATGGTCCTGTATTTGGCTCTATCCATCTTCCCATCAATTTTAGCCATCTTCCCTGTCCCTGCTGAAGAAAAGCAGGCCCAAACCATGATGCTGCCACCACCATGTTTGACAGTGGGGATGGTGTGTTCAGGGTGATGAGCTGTGTTGCTTTTACGCCAAACATATCGTTTTGCATTGTGGCCAAAAAGTTCGATTTTGGTTTAATCTGACCAGAGCACCTTCTTCCACATGTTTGGTGTGTCTGTGGCAAACTTTAAACCTGACTTTTTATGGATATCTTTGAGAAATGGCTTTCTTCTTGCCACTCTTGATTTGTGCAGTGCACGACTGCTTGTTGTCCTATGGACAGACTCTCCCACCTCAGCTGTAGTTATCTGCAGTTCATCCAGAGTGATCATGAGCCTCTTGGCTGCATCTCTGATCAGTCTTCTCCTTGTTTGAGATGAAAGTTTGGAGGGACGGCCGGGTCTTGGTAGATTTGCAGTGGTCTGATACTCCTTCCATTTCAATATAATTGCTTGCACAGTGCTCCTTGAGATGTTTAAAGCTTGGGAAATCTTTTTGTATCCAAATCCGGCTTTAAACTTCTCCACAACAGTATCTCGGACCTGCCTGGTGTGTTCCTTTGTTTTCATGGTTCTCTCTGCGCTTTAAACAGAACCCTGAGACTAACAAAGAGCAGGTGCATTTATACGGAGACTTGATTACACACAGATGCATTCTATTTATCATCATCAGTCATTTAGGACAACATTGGATCCTTCAAAGATCCTCACTGAACTTCTGGACTGAGTTTGCTGCACTGAAAGTAAAGGGGCCGAATAATATTGCACGCCCCACTTTTCAGTTTTTTATTTGTTAAAAAAGTTTAAAATATCCAATAAATTTCATTCCACTTCACGATTGTGTCCCACTTGTTGTTGATTCATGACAAAAAATTAAAATGGTATATCTTTATGTTTGAAGCCTGAAATGTGGCAAAATGTTGAAAGGTTCAAGGGGGCCGAATACTTTCGCAAAGCACTGTATATATTATATATATATATATATATATATATATATATATATATATATATATATATATATATATATATATATATAGGGAGGAGAGAGGAGAGGATATAGAAGAGAGAGGAGAAAAATGGTATTGTAGATATAGCTATACAATGTGTTTTTAAATCTTCAGTCTCTCCGTCAGCCCATGAGGCCTTCGTTACCCTGGCGACCACAGACTCCTACAGTAAAGGAGCGGTGGTGGTGGCCAAAAGTTTGCGGCGGCACGGGACTACTCGCAGCATCGTCGTCATGGTTACGCCCAACATCTCCAGCTCCGCCAGGTGAGGAGGTCTCTCTCTCTCTGTACCTGACTTTTCATCTATAACATAGTGATTGTGTCTGAAAGAGAGGGTCACCTTCTGTCTTCATCTCAGTCGTTTTATTTTGTGTAAAAAAGAGTGAGGGTGGTCCTCTCTTTATCACTTTTCTGTCTCTCTCCTTCTCTCTCTCTGCTCTCTCTTTCTCGCAGAGAGAAACCAGAGGTCTCTCCCTGGTTTCCTATCAGGTCTTTCTCTGGTCTTTCTATGATCTCTCTCTCTCTGGTCTCTCTCTCTTGTCTCTCTCTGGCCTCTCTCTGGTCTCTCTCTTCTGTCTCTCTCCTCTCTCTTCTCTACTCTCTTCTTTCTCCTCTCCTCTCTTATATATCTTGTCTCTCTCTGGCCTCTCTCTGGCCTCTCTCTGGTCTATCTGGTCTCTCTGGCCTCTCTCTGGTCTCTCTCTGGTCTCTCTGGCCTCTCTCTGGTCTATCTGGTCTCTCTCTGGTCTCTCTCTGGTCTCTCTGGCCTCTCTCTGGTCTCTCTGGTCTCTCTGGCCTCTCTCTGGTCTCTCTCTGGTCTCTCTGGCCTCTCTCTGGTCTCTCTCTCTCTCTTTCTCTCTCTCTCTCTCTCTCTGGTCTCTCTCATTAACATACTTCTAATGAGATGTGGACAGCAGGTTGTGGTCTGAGTGATTATGAGACAGTAAAGTTACGTCCCTCAGCTTTAATCCCGCGCCTCCCTCAGATCTGCTCTGGAGGAGGTGTTCGACCAGGTGGTGGTGGTGGACCTCCTGGACAGCGAGGACTACCTCCGCCTGTCGCTGCTGGGACGTCCCGAGCTCGGAGTCACCTTCACCAAGATCCACTGCTGGACCCTGGTGCAGTTCAACAAGTGTGTGTTCCTGGACGCAGACACGCTGGTGAGAAACCCCCCCATTGTACTCTCCTCTATCTATACCAGGCCTGGGACCATGGATGCAGACACGCTGGTGAGAATGAGAGAGGAGAGAGGAAGAAGAGGGACGAGAGCATTTGGTAATTTTTAATAGTTTAATAGTTAACACCCAGCCTGGCCTTAGCCATCCGTACACTCCACTCAATCATCATTTCACTGCATTTAACGTCTGGGTCTGGTCCCTGTGTTAGCGATTACAATCAGTTGAATTTCGACAAATCAGCGAGCTTGTGGGTGACGTCAAGAGTTTGCGTCGAACGGGCAGGTTGTAGTTTGGCAATGGCAAAGAATGCAATAGTAAAGTATTCCGGTCTGGTTCTATCAAGAAATTGAAGCCGGGGCAAGAGTAATGTTTAGCAAATGTAATCGCTCCGTTAGCGGCAAAGGAGATGGCTAGGCTAAATGCTAAATGCTAACAACTCACTTGGGCGCACTACATACTAGACCAGTATTAAACTCAGATCCAATGGTTTCAATCTGCAAAAGAAGTTAACCCCTCCCACCTGTTCACGGAGCTAAATGGAGCACCTCCAGACCTTAGTATGAAATGTAATTTGTACTATGGTGTGGTATGACCAGGCTAGTTAACACCAAGTTACTTAAGTGTTTTAAAAGAGTCAAGATGGTTTTTGCAAAGATGTATCTGTATGTTTGATGTTTGACTCCGGGGCTGAAACATAAAAGCAGTCGGTGTTGTTGTTTGTGGGCGGCATGGTGGCGGAGTGGATAGCACTCTCGCTTCTCAGCAAGAAGGTCCTGGGTTCGAATCCCGGTCGGAACAGGGCTTTTCTGAGTGGAGTTTGTATGTTCTCCCCGTGTCTGCGTAGGTTTCCTCCGGGTGCTCCGGTTTTCCCTACCACTAAAAACATGCACAATAGGTATGAATGTAAATGAGAGTGAATGGATGGTGTTGATTGGGGGCTGATGGTCCAGTGTGTTCTTGCTTCTGTCATCACTGTGTGTGGAACAATATCTGAACTCTGAACATTGTAAAGTGCTTTGGGTGACCTTTGTCTATAAAATGTGCTATATAAACCAAACTTTACTTGCTGGGGTACGTAACTTACACACCACAAAATACTGGATTGATGTCACTGGTCCTTGGCTCTCACACGGTTTTCTCATTGGTCCATGTTGAGGAGGTGGTGAGCGAGAATCTTTGCGCGTCTTCACGTTGAGCACGTTCGGAGCGATGTCCAGGAGCAGTGAGGTTCAGGACCCGCACTTTGAGCCTGGTATCTGCTGTGTGCATTGACCTAAAGCACACGGACACATGTTGTTCCTATGGTCTGCTGTTTGGTCTGAGCAAATACGCAGTTTGAATTCTGAGCTATAGGAGGCGAGCACACAGAGACACAGAGACACACAGAGACACACAGAGACACACAGAGAGACACACAGAGAGACACACAGAGAGACACACAGAGAGACACACAGAGAGACACACAGAGAGACACAGAGAGAGACAGAGAGAGACACAGAGAGAGACACAGAGACACACAGAGAGACAGAGACACAGAGAGAGACACAGAGAGAGACAGAGAGAGACAGAGAGACACAGAGAGAGACACCGAGAGACACACAGAGAGACACAGAGAGAGACACAGAGAGAGACAGAGAGAGACACAGAGAGAGACACAGAGGCACAGAGACACAGAGACACAGAGAGAGACACAGAGAGAGACACAGAGAGAGACAGAGAGAGAGACAGAGAGAGACACAGAGACATACAGAGAGACAGAGACACAGAGAGAGACACAGAGAGAGACAGAGAGAGACAGAGAGACACAGAGAGAGACACCGAGAGACACACAGAGAGACACAGAGAGAGACACAGAGAGAGACAGAGAGAGACACAGAGAGAGACACAGAGGCACAGAGACACAGAGACACAGAGAGAGACACAGAGACACAGAGAGAGAGAGAGAGACAGAGAGACACAGACACACAGAGAGAGAGAGACAGAGACACAGAAAGACACAGAGAGAGACACAGAGAGAGACACAGAGAGAGACACAGAGAGAGACACAGAGAGAGACACAGAGACACAGAGAGAGACACAGAGAGAGACAGAGAGAGACAGAGACACAGAAAGACACAGAGAGAGACACAGAGAGAGACACAGACACAGACACACACAGAGAGAGAGACAGAGACACAGAGAGAGACACAGAGAGACAGAGAGAGACACAGAGAGAGACACACAGAGAGACACAGAGAGACACACAGAGACACAGAGAGAGACACAGAGACACAGAGAGAGACACAGAAAGACACAGAGACACAGAGAGAGACACAGAGAGAGACACAGAGAGAGACACAGAGACACAGAGAGAGACACAGAGACACAGAGAGAGACACAGAGAGAGACAGAGATAGACACAGAACGAGAACGAGAGGGAGAGACCAGAGAAGTAGAAATCCGTGAGAGAGAGAGAAAGTGAGAAAAAGGTCAGAGAGAAATTAGAGCAAGGCGAGAGAGAGACAATGGTGTAGGTTTGGTTCCAATCTTGGTGGGGACATTCACTACGACCTGAGTCTACACCCATTGACACGGGGTCCAGAGTTTCTCCCCCAGAATTTGTTGTGTAATCACACACTATATTTGCAATAGTATGTTGCCTTCTATACTAAACTCAGCTGTAGACTGAATGAGAAGCAGTTAAGGATTTTTTCTAATAGTTAACACAAAATCAATTGGATCAGAGCTTCTGAGTTTTGTGTTGCGTTCATTCTATACTGACTTAAACCTAATCCAAATCTACATAATAGCCCTCACCTGAGGCTCTAACAGTTCAGGAACTGCTCTCGATACTTGAAATAAATCATGCTCTGATCTTTCAATTTCCTATAATAAATAAAAACAGAGGAGAAAATATTGAATTAGAATCTACAGTGAGTATCTCACTACATTGTTTGACATATACAATCAATCTCTAAAAACAATTCATAGTCCCATGCATACCTACAAAATTCCAACCTCGCCTGATGCACTGAAGGGCCTGTTGCTTCTACCTCAACATTCCCTATATTGTTCTCTCTTGTTGGTTGAGTTTCCTATGTATGTTAACAGAAGATTAATCATCACAATTCATAATTTGCTATTACTTGTGCTTTCTCTTACTTACTTTCCAACTGTTAAAAAAGCTCCTGATATCTTTTATCTTTTTTTGTGGAGGTGGCATTTTTTCTAAATTATATAAGAAGGTATAGAAAATCAAAAACAGACATTCATATACATGAACTGCAGAATCATTTATATAACTTGGCCAATGTCAAAAGTTACATAGTATTTCTCAATACAATGAGTTAACAAGAGTTTGGCAATAAGTAACAGTGTGGATTTTTCTATATTTTCTTTTTTTTATTCCACTCTCAACCCAAAAAGGCAAGTAATGACTCACAGGGCTCTCAAGTATGCAAAATAAAAACTTAAATGACCTGTTGTGGTGTGTTTTGCGCACAACCAGCATGCATCGTTAACGCAATGGAAAATGTAGGTATCCGAGCTTTAATTTCGGGGGCGCTGGTTGCGCTTTGGGAAGAGTCAGGGGAGAGACATGTCAGAGACACAGGGGAGAAACGCGGGAGATACGAGGGAGACCCGCACTTGCAACATGGTTCTGTCTGCATATGGTCCGAGCTCGGTACCATGTTAGAGCTGTGCTTTCACTGAGCGCCGCGGCTGTCATTACAAAGCGGCAGCAGCTGCACCAGGACGTGCACATTCGAGTGCATCGCTTGAATGTGCTTAGAGCAAATAACAGCAAGTGCCCGCTGTCACACATTTCACAGAAATTACATTATCAGCAGATAAAGGTTGTAAATCGTGGATCCGTGGAATATTTTCATCCCTAGTTTATCCTGATTCACACAACACACCCACTTATACATTTTGTATAGTAAGAGCACAATAAGTATTTTTTCAGCCTTTCAACCAACCTGTTTCTTTATTGGAGCCAGTTCTGTTCTGTCTCTGTGCCGTGTGAGCTCCTCGGAACATTAAACAGTGCGCTGACAGATTAGAAATAACTTAAGTACTTTGAATGGTAATAGATCTACAGTACTTTCCTCTGATTACTCACGTGCTACAACGCTCAGGGAACGAAAAAAAAACACTTGCTTCACGCTGGCTAACTTTTAAAAATTAAACAGTCGCTCAGTGCTTCAGTTTGGCGCTGAAGAAGACAGCCAATCACTGCAGAGAACGGAACGGGTCACGTGCTGCTGCTGCTGCTGTTGCTCTGGAGGCGAGGAGGAGGCGCGACGTATGCACAAACGGAAGACATGTGTCCCGGACCGTCCGGGTCACGGGACATCATGTCATTTTGGTGGGGACTTTTTAGTCCTCACCAAATATTGGTGGGGACATGTCCCCATGGTCCCCACGCAAACCTACGCCCTTGGAGAGCGATACCAGAGAGGGACCAGAGAGAGACCAATCTCACATCTCTCCTCTGTGCAGGTCCTGGGGAACGTGGATGACCTCTTCAGCAGAGAGGAGCTGGCCGCGGCCCCGGACCCCGGTTGGCCCGACTGCTTTAACTCTGGGGTCTTTGTGTTCCGGCCCTCGCTGCAGACTCACGCTCTGCTGGTGCAACACGCCGCTCAGCATGGAAGCTTCGATGGTAAACGCTCTCTCTCAGCTAATAAATGTAGTGTTTAATTGATCATTAATTATCTATTAATTGATATTTATTATTTATATTCTACATGGTCTTATTCAACATCTAAATGACTTCTAACTGACACTTTCCCATTTGGTTTCTCTCTGGTCTATCTGTCCTTTTCTTGTCTCTCCCTGGTCTCTCTCTCTGTCTCTCTCTCTTATATCTACTCTTACTCTCTGGTGTCTTCTGTTTCTAGTCTCCCTCTGGTCCCTCTCTAGTCTCTCTCTGGTCTCTGGTCAAAATCATGTGTTATTTTCCTCCATCTTTCCCATTCTATTCAACAGAAATCCTTTGTACCAGATCCTTCAAATAACCAAATATTACAGCCATACAAGTTATATCTCTGGTGTCCCTCTCTTTGGTCTCTCTCTCTCTCTCTGATCCCCCTCTCTCTGGTGTCTCACTCTCTTTCATCTCTCTCTGGTCTCACTCTCTCATCTCTGGTCTCTCTCTCTCTGGTCTCTCTCTCTGGTCTCTCTCTGGTCTCTCTCTCTCTCTCATCTCTCTCTCTGGTCTCTCTCTCTCTCTCTCTGGTCTCTCTCTGGTCTCTCTCTCTCATCTCTCTCTCTGGTCTCTCTGTGGTGTGTTGCAGGTGGGGACCAGGGCTTACTGAACTCCTTCTTCAGCTCGTGGCCTCACACAGATCTGTCCAAACACCTTCCCTTCATCTACAACCTGAGCGCCAGCACCGTCTACAGCTACCTCCCGGCCTTCAAGCGGTAACCACGGAAACCATTACATTTCCCCAAACTCACAAAACTCAGTCCAGAGTTGGGCAAGAGTCCAAGACCAGGCTCAGGTCAACACATGTACTGTTTAAGAGTACAAACAGTAGAGTCTCTCTGGTCTCTCTCTCTAATCTCTTTCTAGTCTCTCTCTCTGGTCTCTCTCTCTTGTCTCTATCTTCTCTCTCTCTGGTCTCTCTCTCTTGTCTCTATCTTCTCTCTCTCTGGTCTCTCTCTCTGGTCTCTCTCTCTTGTCTCTATCTTCTCTCTCTCTGGTCTCTCTCTCTTGTCTCTATCTTCTCTCTCTCTGGTCTCTCTCTCTGGTCTCTCTCTCTTGTCTCTCTCTGGTCTCTCTCTTGTCTATCTCTGTGTCTCTCTCTTGTCTCTGTCTGGTCTCTCTCTTGTCTATCTCTGTGTCTCTCTCTTGTCTCTCTCTGGTCTCTCTCCATTCTCTCACTGATCTCTCCCTTGTCTCTTTCAGGTCTCTCTTCTCTCTGGTCTCTCTCTTGTCTCTCTCACGTCTATCTCTCTCTGGTCTCTCTCTTGTTTATCTCTCTCTCTCTTGTCTCTTTCTCTTATCTCTTTCTGGTCTCTCTCTTGTCTCTCTCACGTCTCTCTGGGCTCTTCCTGGTCTCTCTCTGGTCTTAAAAGCTGTACTGATCCTCGTGATAGAAGCAACTGTTTTAGAGCCAGGAACTATAAACATGGATTCCTACTGTTGTGCTTTGAAAGTTACGTACCCAAGCTTTAAAAGTGCACATTTTGATGATCTCGCTGGTCGCTCCCTCATGTCTCTCTCTCTGGTCTCTCTCTCTTGTCTCTCTCTGGTCTCTCTCTTGTCTATCTCTGTGTCTCTCTCTTGTCTCTGTCTGGTCTCTCTCTCTGGTCTCTCTCCATTCTCTCACTGATCTCTCCCTTGTCTCTTTCAGGTCTCTCTTCTCTCTGGTCTCTCTCTTGTCTCTCTCACGTCTATCTCTCTCTGGTCTCTCTCTTGTCTCTCTCACGTCTCTCTGGGCTCTCCCTTATCTCTCTCTGGTCTCTCTCTTGTTTATCTCTCTCTCTCTTGTCTCTTTCTCTTATCTCTCTCTGGTCTCTCTCTTTGTTCTCTCTCACGTCTCTCTGGGCTCTTCCTGGTCTCTCTCTGGTCTTAAAAGCTGTACTGATCCTCGTGATAGAAGCAACTGTTTTAGAGCCAGGAACTATAAACATGGATTCCTACTGTTGTGCTTTGAAAGTTACGTACCCAAGCTTTAAAAGTGCACATTTTGAAGATCTCGCTGGTCGCTCCCTCATGTCTCTCTCGCTGGGTCTCTCTCATGTCTCTCACTCCTCAGCTTCGGACACCAGGCCAAGATCGTCCACTTCCTGGGTTCTACTAAACCATGGAACAGCAGCGCAGGCTCCAGCTCTCGCACCATGGGGCGATATGTGGACATGTGGTGGACCGAGTACCGGGACCAGAACCAGAGCCAGAACCGGAACCAGAAGAGCTCCTCCTCTTCATTGTCTTCATCGTCTTCATCACCATCTGCAAACAACCAGCGAGACCTTCCCTTTGTGTCGTACACAAAGACCACAGTCAAACAGAAGAAAGGGACTGGAGTCAGGCAGAGCAGAGGAGTGAAAAATGTGAGAGACACCAGAGAGAGAGAGACCAGGGAGAGAGAGACCAGGGAGAGAGACCATAGAGAGAGACCAGAGAGAGAGTCCAGAGAGAGACCAGGGAGAGACCAGGAGAGAGAGAGACCAGGGAGAGACCATGGAGAGAGACCATGGAGAGACCAGAGAGAGAGAGACCAGAGAGAGAGAGACCAGGAGAGAGAGACCAGAGAGAGAGACCATGGAGAGAGACCAGAGAGAGACCAGAGAGAGAGACCAGGAGAGAGAGAGACCATAGAGAGAGACCATAGAGAGAGACCATAGAGAGACCAGGGAGAGACCAGAGAGAGAGAGATCAGCAAGAGAGAGAGAGGCCAGAAGGAGACCAGCTACAACAGTTGAATATAAATGCTACAAACTTCATGAAGAATGACATTTACTTTGTTCGCTGTAATTCAGATTCAGTTCAAAGAAACAAGAGAAATCCTCAGAATCTCCGCTCCGTTACCGCCGCCGCCGCCGTCGCCTCAGGATCCAACGGTGAGAAGCCTCATCTCTCTCTCTGTCGGAGCACACCATCTGCATTATTCAGGAGAGTTAAGTACCCGAGCTTTAAAGACCATCACAGAGACTTTAAAGACTCTGAATCCATTCAAGGAGCTTGTCTCATAATCGCCCAAAACCAGAACTGTTTCATGGTTCTGATCCTGGTCACTGGTTTTTACACTCTAAGAAGTGTCTATGTAATTGTGGACGATACCAGAGGACGATACCAGAGGACGATACCAGAGGACGATACCAGAGGACGATACCAGAGGACGATACCAGAGGACGACACCAGAGGACGACACCAGAGGACGACACCAGAGGACGACACCAGAGGACGACACCAGAGGACGACACCAGAGGAGGAATCTTTGGTGTCTCTCTCTGCCATGTTGTCTATATCAGAGACATAAAGATTGGGGAAATCCTGGTTTAGTCCTGAGTTAGACTTGGTTTAGGCCTGGGTTAGTCCTGGTTTAGTCCTGGTTTAGTCCTGGTTTAGTCCTGGGTTTGTCCTGGTTTAGTCCTGGGTTAGTCCTGGGTTAGTCCTGGGTTAGTCCTGGTTTAGTCCTGGGTTAGTCCTGGGTTAGTCCTGGTTTAGGCCTGTTTTTCCCCTAGTGTAATCCTGGTGTATTTCTGGTCCTGCATGTAAATCTGCCAGTGGGAATAGGGCTAAAGCCTGGACAAATTATAACTTGTGATTCTGAAAAATAAACATGTTTTGCTCTGATAATGACTCTTCATTTGGACAAACAACATGTATACTGTAATTATGAAAGGGAAAAACCCAGACTCGCAGCTTTAAACACATTTTTAAAATGACTTAACAAAAGAGAACTCTATCTTTATAGGTCACTCAGGTTTTGTCTCAGCTGCCCCCGAGCCCACAGCCTGAAGCCCCTCCTACTGCGGAAAAGAAGGAAGAGGAGGAGGAGGAGGAGAGCATGAGGTGTGAGCTGAGTGAAGTTGAGGAGGCATCTGCAGAGGAGGAGGAGCAGGAGGAAGAGGAGGATGAAGATGTGGATCTGGAAAATCTGGAGGAAGAGATCATCTCCAGCAGCGAAGGAGAAGTGGACGGGACTTACCCCGTAAGCAGCAAAACTCTCTCTCTCTGGTCTCTCTTTAATCACTCTCTCTGCTCTCTACCTATAGTCCCTCTATCTAGTCTCTCTATCTAGTCTCTCTACCTAGTCCCTCTACCTAGTCCCTCTATCTAGTCCCTCTATCTAGTCCCTCTATCTAGTCTCTCTATCTAGTCTCTCTATCTAGTCTCTCTACCTAGTCCCTCTATCTAGTCTCTCTATCTAGTCTCTCTATCTAGTCTCTCTACCTAGTCCCTCTATCTAGTCTCTCTATCTAGTCTCTCTATCTAGTCTCTCTACCTAGTCCCTCTACCTAGTCCCTCTATCTAGTCTCTCTATCTAGTCCCTCTATATAGTCTCTCTATCTAGTCTCTCTATCTAGTCTCTCTACCTAGTCCCTCTATCTAGTCTCTCTATCTAGTCTCTCTATCTAGTCCCTCTATATAGTCCCTCTATCTAGTCCCTCTATCTAGTCCCTCTATCTAGTCTCTCTCTGCTCTCTTTCTAGTCTCCTGTTCTCTCCTCACTCACTATATTTCCGCTGAACATATTCTTTCAAACAAGGCTCATATGTCCGCACTGAAAAAAAGCACCTCTTCATCTTTAATCTTCATCTTCATCTTTAATCTCAATCTCAATCTCACTCAAACCTTTCCTCGGTTTCCTCCAGAGCGACGCAGACTCGGAGGATGACGAGGAGCACCGGAGGCAGTGGGAGATCGGACAGGCCGACTATCTGGGACGAGACGCCTTCGAGAACATCCAGAAGATGCTGGATCGATTCCTGGGCTGAGACCAGGACCAGGAGTTTGGAGTTCAGAGACTTTAGGGTTTAGAGATTATAGACTCGGGTGTAGAGTCCATGTTTGTGAAGTCCTGGGTCCTGTCCTTCTCAGAAACCTCTGGAGTGAAATAAAAGTGATGAGACCATCCGTGAGTCGAGCACTTATTCAACAACAGAAGTAAACACTGTCTCTGGTTCCTGACTCTAAAACGGTTTGCTTTTATCATGAGTCTCTCTCTCTCTCTCACTGGTATCCCTCTGCCTCTGGTCTCTATCTCTCTAGTCTCCCTCTCGCTCGTCTCTCTCTCTCTCTAGTCTCCCTCTCTCTCGTCTCTCTCTCTCTCTAGTCTCCCTCTCTCTCTGGTCTTCCTCTCTGGTCTCTATCTCTCTAGTCTCTCTTTCTCTCACTGGTCTCCCTCTCTCTCTGGTCTTCCTCTCTCTCTTTCTCCCTGTGGTCTCTCTCTGGTCTCCCTCTCTCAGTTTATCTCCCTCTAGTCTCCCTCTTTCTCTCTGGTCTCTCTCTCTCTCTCTAGTCTCCCTCTCTTTGGTCTCTATCTCTCTAGTCTCTCTCTTTCTCTCTCTGGTCTCTCTCTCTCTCTCTAGTCTCTCTTTCTCTCTCTGGTCACCCTGTCTCAGTTTTTCTCTCTCTGGTCTCCCTCTCTCAGTCTATCTCTCTCTGGTCTCTCTCTCTCAGTCTATCTCTCTCTGGTCTCTCTCAGTCTCTCTCTCTCTCGGGTCTCAGTCTATCTCTCTCGGGTCTCCCTCTCTCAGTCTCTCTCTCTCTGGTCTCCCTCTCTCAGTCTATCTCTCTCAGGTCTCCCTCTCTCAGTCTCTCTCTCTCTGGTCTCCCTCTCTCAGTCTATCTCTCTCGGGTCTCCCTCTCTCAGTCTCTCTCTCTCTGGTCTCCCTCTCTCAGTCTATCTCTCTCTGGTCTCCCTCTCTCAGTCTATCTCTCTCTGGTCTCCCTCTCTCAGTCTATCTCTCTCTGGTCTCCCTCTCTCAGTCTATCTCTCTCTGGTCTCCCTCTCTCAGTCTCTCTCTCTCTGGTCTCCCTCTCTCAGTCTATCTCTCTCTGGTCTCTCTATCTCTCTGTTCTTTCTGGTCTATCTCTCTTTGGTCTCAGTTTCCTTCTATCACTAGTTTCATGGTCTTCTGCATGTTCATCTTTAGATCAACTTTTTTAAAACAGAAAAGTGAAAAAGACTGGACCATCAGCTCTCATCCTAAGGAGTCACAAATGGACTCACTGGGATCTTCCTTACACAAATGATAACTTTTTTTTTGAGTTGAAGACGGCATGATGTGATTATCCTACACTACACTACCCTGCCCTACTCTACTCTACACTACTCTCTTCTACTCTACTCTACCCTACCCTGCCCTACCTCACTCTCCTCTACTCTACTCTACACTACCCTACTCTCTTCTACTCTACTCTACACTACCCTACTCTCTTCTACTCTACTCTACTCTCTTCTACTCTACTCTACTCTACCCTACTCTCTTCTACTCTACTCTACTCTACACTACCCTACTCTCTTCTACTCTACTCTACTCTACTCTACCCTACTCTCTTCTACTCTACTCTACCCTACCCTGCCCTACCTCACTCTCCTCTCCTCTACTCTACACTACCCTACACTACCCTACTCTCTTCTACTCTACTCTACTCTACACTACCCTACTCTCTTCTACTCTACTCTACCCTACTCTCTTCTACTCTACACTACCCTACACTACCCTACTCTCTTCTACTCTACTCTACTCTACTCTACCCTACACTACCCTACTCTCTTCTACTCTACTCTACTCTACTCTACACTACCCTACTCTCTTCTTCTCTACCCTACTCTACACTACCCTACTCTCTTCTACTCTACTCTACTCTACACTACCCTACTCTCTTCTTCTCTACCCTACTCTACACTACCCTACTCTCTTCTACTCTACTCTACTCTACACTACCCTACTCTCTTCTACTCTACTCTACTCTACACTACCCTACTCTCTTCTTCTCTACACTACCCTGCCCTTACCCTACTCTCCTCTACTCCACTCTATACACTACCCTACTCTCCCTTACACTACCCTACTCTACCCTACCCTGCCCTACCCCACTCTCCTCTACTCTACTCCACTGCTCTACGTTTCCACTGGTCCTGTTTAAATCAGTACCATCAGTACTGGAAACAGAGTAATGGAAACTCAACCAGAGAAGAGCAGAGTAAAGCAGAGTAAGGCTGGTATAGACAAGGCTTATTTATACCTTAGGGTCTTTGCTTCAAACGTTACATTGCTCGACAAAAGAAGTTACGTTCATAACTAGGGTGATATGAATTTACATTGTGTGAAATTCATGAAAATTCCCCAAAAGTATTTAGTCACTGAAATATTTTTTTCCTCATGCATCGCAAATAAAATACATACAAATTAGTAATATCCGCAAGAAAATGCCTAATATTACAGACAGAATGAATGCGTTTTGTGACCCTGATTTATGAGACAGCCCTGCGTGAGTCCAGCAGGGGGCGCTGTTGCTCCGCGTCAGCAACAGTAGCTTCACAATAGAAATCTGGTGTTTTTCATCTCTTTCACACTGAATCTTTTCAGAGCGCACTTCAGATTTTCAAGTGGCCTTTACACAGCAGTTTAATGTCACTCGACCCTTTGGCAGATAATGTGTTATGTTTGATTTGGACGAAGAAAAACACACTGGACAAAGATTATATTTCAAAAAAGTGTTTATGTGAGGGACTGAAGCACGTTAGTAATTCACACTTTGAACACACTCTCCCTCTCTCTGGTCTCTCACTAATCCCTCTCTCTGGTCTCTCTCTGGTCCCCATCTCTGGCTCTCTACCTCTCTTTGGTCTCTCTTTCTGGTTTCCCTCTAGTTCCTCTCTCTCTAGTCCTGCTCTGTTTGGTCTCTCGCTCTGGTCTCTCTCTGGTCTCCCTCGGGTCTCTCTCCCCAGTCCCTCTCTGTCTGGTCTCTCTTTTGTCTCTCCCTCTGGTCTCTCTCTCTAGTCCCTCTCTGTCTGGTCTTTCTGTCTGGTCTCTCTCTCTAGTCCCTCTCTGTCTGGTCTCTTTCTGGTCTCTGTCACTAGTCCCTCTCTCTCTGGTCTCTCTCTGGTCTCTCTCTCTAGTCCCTCTCTCTCTGGTCTCTCTCTTGTCTCTCTCTGGTCTCTCTCTGGTCTCTCCCTCTGGTCGCTCTCTCTAGTCCCTCTCTCTCTGGTCTCTCTCTGGTCTCTCCCTCTGTGGTCTCTCTCTCTGGTCTCTCCCTCCCTCTCTAGTCCCTCTCTCTTTCGTCTCTCTCTGGTCTCTCTCTTGTCTCTCCCTCTGGTCTCTCTCTATAGTCCCTCTCTGTCTGGTCTCTCTCTGTTTTGGACATGGTTAAAAAACTTTTGCCAAACACGTATTTTTTTAATTAAAACTTTATCTCAACATTAATATTCTTTTACTCATTTGTCGTCACCTTTTCTCACCAAAACACATTATTTAAAATTGTGTTTACATCACATAATTAACTCTAAGATACTCACTTCTGTCGTCAAACTAATCAGCACTTGCTGCATGTTTTTCTCTGACTTTCAAGGTTCATTTCTTCACAAAAACCCACTTAACGCTGTTTCACTCGCACTAAACGCCTCCGTGGATAAAGTTATTATTCTCAAACTTTACCCTCGTCTTTATCAGCCTCGGCAGACGGCAGCAACACGAAGCAGAGAGGGTCACTTCTCTTTATCGTTTGCATAATTGATCAGTGATTCTTTCGGAGCAGTGACTGTATCAGAGTGAGCAGGTGAAAAGAAAAGAGAGAGAAGGATAGACAGAAAGGGAGAGAGAGAGAGAGGAATCCAGGCTCTGAGGCAAGTTTTAAGTTCTGCACGTCTCCCATTGAGCTCTGGGAGGCACTGGATCGCCGTGTAAGACCAGTTCCAGTTCCTGCAAATATCCAGCTCAGAATCTTGGACAAGACGCTCTCAGAGCTTTCGATTCGCTCTCACTCTACATTCTCTCCCTCACCTACGGTTATAAGCTCTGGTCTCTCTATCTGATCTCTCAATTCTTTCTCTGGCCTCTTTCTGGTTTCTCTCATAGGTCTCTCCCTGTTCTCTCTCTAGTTTCTCTCTGATCTCTCTCTAGTTTCTCTCTGGTCTCTCTCTAGTCTCTCTCTGGTCTCTCTCTGGTCTCGCTCTGGTCTCTCTCTGGTCTCTCTCTGGGCTCACCCTAGTTTCTCTCTGGTCTCTCTCTGGTCTCTGTCTAGTTTCTCTCTGGTCTCTCTCTAGTTTCTCTCTGGTCTCTCTCTAGTCTCTCTCTGGTCTCTCTCTGGTCTCGCTCTGGTCTCTCTCTGGTCTCTCCCTAGTTTCTCTCTGATCTCTCTCTGGTCTCTCTCTGGTCTCTTTCTGGTCTCTGTCTAGTTTCTCCTTGGTCTCTCTGTAGTTTCTCCCTGGTCTCTCTCTAGTTTCTCTCTGGTCTCTCTCTAGTCTCTCTCTGGTCTCTCTCTGGTCTCTCTCTGGTCTCGCTCTGGTCTCTCTCTGGGCTCACCCTAGTTTCTCTCTGGTCTCTCTCTGGTCTCTCTCTGGTCTCTGTCTTGTTTCTCTCTGGTCTCTCTCTAGTTTCTCTCTGGTCTCTCTCTGGTCTCTCTCTGGTCTCTCTCTGGTCTCTCTCTGGTCTCTCCCTAGTTTCTCTCTGATCTCTCTCTGGTCTCTCTCTGGTCTCTCTCTGGTCTCTCTCTGGTCTCTCTCTGGTCTCTGTCTAGTTTCTCCCTGGTCTCTCTGTAGTTTCTCTCTGGTCTCTCTCTGGTCTCTCTCTAGCTTCTCCATGGTCTCTCCCTGGTCTCTCTGTAGTTTCTCTCTGGTCTCTCTCTGGTCTCTCTCTAGTTTCTCTCTGGTCTCTCTCTGGTCTCTCCCTGGTCTCTCTCTGGTCTCTCCCTGGTCTCTCTCTGGTCTCGATAGATAGATATATTGAGTGATGGCCCCCAGATGTTCCAGTGTCTGCTCTTGAACACACATCTCCAGAGTCTCGTCTCCTTCTCGATGATTACAATCTGCTGTTGATTCTAGAGGACGGGCTCTGATTGGACGAGAGGTCTGTAAACGAACACATGTCGAACAGGAATAAACATCCGCAGGCTCAGAGTGAGGTCATCCACATCAGAGACAGGTGCCTCCAACGTGGGATTATCTCTGTGGAGACCAGAGCGGAAACACATGTACAATACACACACACACACACACACACACACACACGCACACACACACATGTAAATATCCACACTGTTTTGTCTTGTTTGTTTTATTGTATTTGTCTGTATGTCTGCATTTGTATTGTATGTAAAAAATTAATCTATAAGAAACAGCACTTTTTGGAACACTGTTGGAGTTTGGTCTTGAGTCCAATCCAAGATATTTGATTAGAATAATGGATTTAATGTTCAGGACATGAGTTTTCTCTTTGAAAGAAATTGGATATTGAGCCTGTTGAAACATGTTTTCACCTGAAATTACTAACAAAGCCGTACAAACATATTTCATTATTCATTTAATCATCAAAATACAGTGCACTGTGTCAGGTCTTGGTTCAAAAAGTTCTATGAAATAATTCTAATATGTTATAATAAATATTGAACCCTTTGATTTCCCTGGTCCAATACCTCAGTCCTGGATCTACAGCCTCAGTCCTGGGTCTACAGCCTCAGTCCTGGATCTGCAGCCTCAGTCCTGGATCTACAGCCTCAGTCCTGGATCTACAGCCTCAGTCCTGGGTCTACAGCCTCAGTCCTGGGTCCACAGCCTCAGTCCTGGGTCTACAGCCTCAGTCCTGGATCTACAGCCTCAGTCCTGGATCTACAGCCTCAGTCCTGGATCTACAGCCTCAGTCCTGGATCTAAAGCCTCAGTCCTGGGTCTACAGCCTCAGTCCTGGGTCTACAGCCTCAGTCCTGGGTCCACAGCCTCAGTCCTGGGTCTACAGCCTCAGTCCTGTGTTTTCAGCCTCAGTCCTGGATCTACAGCCTCAGTCCTGGATCTACAACCTCAGTCCTGGGTTACTGAGCGGTTCCTCTCAGATTCAGGAGGGTATATGGACAGTGATGATTTGGGACATTTAATTACTTTTTTTTTTTGTCATAATCAACCCTTATTGCCCAATTTTCCTTCTTTTTGTATACCAGTGTGCGTACATGCGTCTAAAGTGGCGCATTAAAAGGGGCACTATGAGAGGCTGTGTACTTGGTGCAGGGGAACCAGTGCTGTCTCCACTCCCACCGCTGGTACCGGACCTCATTATCACATTAGTTTACAACATTTCCAAGACTCATGATCCAAACACCAGAAGACAACACCAGGGGCAGTGTGATGTCTGTTCCTGGTGCAGTGGGTAAGACCAGTGTGTTGTGATGGGGAGTTCTGAGTTTGAGTCCTGGTCTCATCAGTACAACTAATACAGCTAATACTTTACATTTTTAAACATAGAGCTTGTAAAAATACTGTGATATTTATGAAAACACACTCTCTGACTTCAGGTGTGTGACTCAGTTGGTAAAGCAGCAGCACTGACACCGAGGGCCTGGGGTCCAATCCCTCCAGGGGCAGCTGTGACAACCCCAGTCCTAACCCTAACCCTAACCCTAGTACAAACAAGATGGGGGAGCCAGGCCAGACAGGGGGAGGACCAGCACATCCCACACCAGAGACAGAGGAAAGACAGAGCTCTCTAAGTCAGAGTGAAACACTGTCTGAAGTCTCCTGGAGAAGGACCAGGAGAACACATATCTGCTCTAATAACTGAGACATTCAACTAAACACGTTAATTAGCAACAAATTTAAGTCCAACATTTACTGCTACCAAAATTGAGACACCACACTGCTCCTTGGGTTTGGATCATGAGTCTGGGAAAAGCAGTGGGAGTGGAGACAGCATTGGTTTGGAACACTGAGTCTGGTCTTCACTTCAATCCCTCGTCAGACTCTGTAGCGTGGATCAGGTTTGCTTTGCAGTTTCTCAAACACAAACCATATTTTAATCATGTAAAGAGCTTTGGATTTGTGTTTGGAGACCAGAACTCCTCATGCATCACACGCTTGTCTTACCCACTGGAAAAGATCACCTGCCATTCATTTCAGTTCTTTGGTGCAGTACAGTAGTGGCCTCAGGGGCAGCTGCTCTCTGATCTCCACGATGCATGGTTCGTTCCCAGACGCAGTTTTAACCGATTTTATTGACACCGAGGATCCAGAGGACACGGCTATAACAGGGATTTCCTCTGCTCCAGCTGCTCCTGCTCCGCTCCAGAATCTCTGACCTGATTCCAACACGCTGAGAAATCACAGACTTTCAATAAATCATTACAGGAAGTGTCTGTAAAGCATTGTCTTGTGTTTGCAAAAGTGCCAGGATGTGGATGTGATGGAGGCCAGCAGTTACTAGGTTAGAAAGTCACGTACATACAGTAAGCTTGGGCAGTAGAATATGGTGATATTTAAACTGCAACACATCTATTTGATTAAGATTGACTCGTATCTGGACACACACACACACGCAAATGCACACACACTCACACGCACAGGAATTTCTACTTTAACTTAATCCCTTTATAATTGTATATGTGCATTTTTTCTTTTTCAACAACCTAGACACAGATATGTTCGCATTTCTCTCTGACTGTTACCGATAACTTGCTTCAAATTCCCTCCTGTTGTGTTGTAGCTTCACACATTTCTCCTCCACGCGTCGATACAAACTCCCACAGACCAAACCGGTGCAAGAATAACTCTAATAATAAACACTGAGGTAACAACAGTCCATTGTTTTATTAAAATACACACAAATCTATGCAGTCGCTCATTGACAAATAAGTTACAATAGGAAGCAGAGTTCAGTGTTTAAAGTGAAGCAAAGTTTGTGGAAAAACATCAAAATGTGCCACATGTCAAATACTGCTTTTTTTTTCTAACAGAGCCACATATACTGCAATATTTATAACGTTTGCTCCCAAAACATGATATAAATTACTTGAGGCTGAAGAATGTTTTTAACCTGAGAAATCACTAAAACTAATTCAAGAGCAGTCCTTTTGTTTTTTTAAAGACGGCAAAAAAGAAACACACAGGAAATAATGGTTTGTGGACTTGAAAATAGCGCATAAAAACCTTTATATTTTTTTACCTCTACAGTTCATGGCACAGATCTGAGGAATTCAACATGGAGGGTTGTGTGAGGTCTGTGATGGTCTGTTTTTGAGGCGAGACATCCAGACAGTTTTGCATAGTATGTGCCCTTTAAAGTTGGAATAAAGTGACGGTATGTACTGTTTAGTTGGAAGCTCAATACAATCATATCTTTTACCAGTTGAATTTTGACCAATTCCATGTTTCTGTCAGATAATATTATATTATAGACAGGATTCAAATCTCCATTGAATTAATATATGCACTAATATCCTTCAGTCTCTTCAGTATTCATGAGTATTTAAAGTCTTGTTTCCACCCGCCCTGCCCTACACCGCTCTTCCTATCCACAGCGTATCCAGTATTGAGGGAAATTCCTTGGTAACCATGGCTTCCAGCAGCACTCTGGCCAATCACTGTCAGATAGAACATCGGTACAGGTAGAGTAGAGTAGAGCACAGGAAAGTAGAGTATAGAAAAGTAGAGTAGAATATAGAAGGTTGGATGAGAGGAGAGATAAAGTCGAGTAAAGCAGAGCAGAGCTGAGTTGGTGGAAACAGGGCTAATCTAGCCTAAAAGCTCACACATTTTCACAAACATCAAGTCTTTACTGGCTTTCATTTTGGTTGATTTCAAACCAAACCTCCATCAGTGATGAATCGGCTTGTCGTCCATCGAGTCCATTCCTATTGAAATTGAAACTCGACTAAAGCAACGTAACCTTCGCCAATGGCTTAAAGCTGCAGTTTCTCGGGCGATTGTCCAGTGACTTCTCTCCTCAGAAAACATTTAAATACGTCGTCCTGGAGTCCATTCCTACCGCGTTCCTCGCTGTGCACTTGTAGACCCCCGCGTCTCTCTGGCTGGGGTTCTGGATCACCAGTGCCCCCTGTGGATGGAGGTACTTGTTGCCAAGTAGCCGTGGTACCGAACCCACGACCAGCCGGGCTTTGTCTGGGGTCTCCCACGCCACTTCTGCACTTGGAATTCCAGTCACCGCGCAGTTTAGCTGAACTGCCACACCCCTTTTAGCGTACGTGACCGAGCTGGGGCCGTTAGTGATGCGCGGCGGATAGGCTATCACTATCACCGACACAGACAGGAAAGAGCTACCGTATTCGTTAGCCGCACGACACACGTACAAGCCTCTGTCGTAGACGCTGATCTGTTGTATTGCTAGCGTACCGTTTGGCAAGACAGAGTACCTGCCGGCCTTTTGAGGGCGATTCAAAATTACACCACTCGGTAGCGTCCACGTTAGCCTCAACGCATGCGCATCTGTCACGCAATTTAGCATTAGCATCTCTCCATTCAGAACATTCACTGCTGCATTATATCTATTTAAAATTTCTGGTTTTCTCCCTGGTGCTAGCTCCACAAACTGCTCAAATTTAGCACTGTTGCTACGTCCTGCGCATCTGTATGTGCCTGCTTCTGCTAACGACGGGTTGCTAATAATCAAGGAGCCATCTGGATGGTGGAAGAACTTGCTAACCCGCGCGCCGCTGAGCAGAGGAGCCCCATTTGGAAGCATCCACGTGATTGGCTGAACATTATTCCCGGCAAACGTACAGTTTAGGATCAGGGCATTACCTGCGGACAACCACACTGTCTCTGTTTTGTTTTCCAGGACTTGCATTCCAGCGGTTGCTTCTTTGACGTCGAGGCTAACCGCTAACCGCACTTCCCCTCCTTCATTCCTGGCAACACAAGCTAGCTCACCTGAGTCGCTCTTTCTCGCCGAGCGTATTTCCAACGTACCATTTGGGAAAACCGTGATCCGATTGCTAGAATAAGGCGCAGGGAGGATGACGCTCCCAGGAAGAACCCACACAACTCTGGGATTGGGAGATCCCTTCGCCGCGCAGTCTAGCAAAACTCGTTCGTTCTCGTGGGTAGCAGCTTTAAAGTGATTTCCTTGCGCACTGAAAACAGGTGGATGAACCAAAACCGCAACTTTGACGACTTTGTTGTCTTGTCCGATGGCATTCCGTGCCACGCAGGTGTAATCCCCAGCGTCAAAGCGTTGAACTTTCCGCACAATCAGCATTCCATCATTCAAAACCTGATATTTCTCCGTATTTGTAGCGATCACTCGGTTCATCGGCGAGATCCAGGTTTGCGTTGGCTTTGGCTCGCCTCTCGCGTCGCAGTGTAAGGTTAAATTCTCTCCGTAAGTTACTTCCACTGGTAAATTGTGCGCCTTGTCCAGGATTCTTGGAGCAGAGGCGGCGGAGGTGACCTTGACATGGACCTTCATCTGGTCTTTGCCGACACGGTTCTCGGCGTAGCACGTGTAGTCGCCCTCTTCATGCTTCCCCACGTCGTTGAAGAAAAGCGTGCCGTTGTCAAACACCACAAACCTGAAGAAAAAGCCAAGAAGTGAGAAAAGTGGAAGAGGTTGAATACATGTGAATTCAAGCACAAGTCACAACACTTTACATAATGACACTGTGACGAGCCGTGGAGCTGTGTTTAAGTGAGTGAAGCTATGACAGCCAGAGTTTGGGAAGTGTTCTTCAAATAAGACAAGATAGACTTTACCAATCTCACACTCAAGGAATTTACTTTCAGACTACTTGTTCTGTAGTTTGAGTCCTGGATCTATACCACGTCCGTCCGTGGGAGCGAATCCCTCTCTCAATATGGTCCTGGTCTCTCCCTGGTCTCTCCCTGGTCTCTCTCTGGTCTCTCTCTGGTCTCTCTCTGGTCTCTCTCTGGTCTCTCTCTGGTCTCTCTCTGGTCTCTCTCTGGTCTCTCTCTGGTCTCTCTCTGGCCTCTCTCTGGTCTCTCTCTGGTCTCTCTCTGGTCTCTCTCTGGTCTCTCTCTGGTCTCTCTCTGGTCTCTCTCTGGTCTATCTCTCTGGTCTCGCCCTCAGGTCTGTTTTTGTCACTCGTCTGCCCATCACAGCAGCGATGGCAGAAGGTCATCTCTGTCCTGCACAAAGCTGATAACATTAACTCACCAAAATCCTTCATGAATAAATACCAGCAGCTTAGAAACACACTGGAACAATGTGACCTCGCTGGTTCAAAGCTATATAAAAGAGAGAGAGAGAGAGACCAGAAAGAGAGATCAGAGAGAGAAGCTAGAAAGAGAGCTCAGAAAGAGTGGCCGGATAGAGACCGAGTAGAGAGGCCAGAGTGACCACAGACTAGAGAGACCAGAGAGAGAGACCGTGGCATAGAGAGAGCATAGAGACCATGGAGCTAATCTGGATAGAGACCAGAGAGAGAGACCAGAAAGAAATAATTGAGAATGAGACCAGAGATAGGGACAAGAAATAGTCCAAAGAAAGGCCAGGGAGAGAGACCTAGAGACTGGAGAGAGATTGTGAAACAGGTCATTAGTTATTATAATATAATCATTGTAATTATTAGTATCTGTGGCGTATAACGATCACCTGCGTCCTCGTCCAGTCTTCTGCTCCCTGGTGTTGACCATGGTCCCATCTGGTAAGGACCACCTGATGTCCGGGTCTGGGAGTCCGGAGGCCACACAGTCCACCTTCAGGTCCCCTCCGTAAACCACCTCCTGCTTCCATCGCGGAGACTTCTGCTCTATTTTCGCTGGTTTGGTCAAAATCTTTACGGTAACCGCCACGTGGTCGTCCCCCATTTTGTTGCGGGCGATGCACAAGTATTCACCTCCATCTTTGTCCGTGACCGGGCGAAGTAGAAGGGAACCGTTGGAGAAAACCCGGATTCTGGAATCAAAGCTGAAGAGAGGAGAGAGATATACAAACATATGGAAGGATTAGGATTAATAGAGAGACACCAGAGCGAGAGACCAGAGAGGGAGACAGAGAGAGAGAGAGAGAGAGAGAGACTGGAAAAAAGAGGCCATAGAGACAGGCCATAGAAAGAGACCTGAGAGAGAGAAGGAGAGAGACCTGATCAGAGACCAGAGAGACCAGAGAGAGACTGGAGCAGTGATGGGCAAATTCCGGCCCGGGGGCCAGAATTTGGACATTACTGTCAGGCCCCTGAGCCCTCAGCATTGTATATAGAGATAGTATAAACTTTATGCAATAAAGAATTTGAAATCCCTCTTTGCTATTTGGGTACCTATAAATTCATATCATACAAGATGGTAGTATGATATCTTCTTGTTTCTTTCCCTTTCCAGGATTTGTTTTGCATCAACAAAAGTAAAACACAAAAAATGTAAATCCCTCTTTGCTTCTGCTTTGATGTATACTAGTTGTAATCACCTGCAAAAAATTTAGTTTGAGAAAAACATTGTGAATAACGTCCGTCCCCCGACAGCAGAACGATATTCCAACGTGGCCCCCAGGATGAGAAGTTTGCCCATGCCTTGACTAGAGAGAGCCCGGAGAGAGAGACCGGAGAGAGAGACCGGAGAGAGAGAGACTGGAAAGAGAGAGCAGAGAGAGAGACTGGAGAGAGAGAGAGCAGAGAGAGAAATAGAAAGATCAGTTGGAGAGGCCAGAGAAAACCGGTTGGAGAAAACTCGGATTCTGGTATCAAAGCTGTAAAGAGAAAATAGAGATAGAGATATACAAACACATGAAAGGACACAGGTTACAGATAGGGGTGGGAACCTAAGGGTACCTCACGATACGATACGATACACGATACAAAGCTCACGATAACGATAATATCACGATAACGATAATATCACGATAACGATTTTATCACGATATGACGATTATTGATATATTGGTTAGAAATATACAATATGCCAATTTATGGCATAAATAAAAGAAAAAAATACACTTTATTTCATGATAAATGGAATGGAGATGCATAATGTAGCAATATATTAAGTATTGATACCAATTTAAAAAAAAGAAAATTTTTAAAAAAATTGTTTTTTCAAAATCTATACCGATACTTGGCAAATGCACATCGATAATCGAATCGCGGGAGAAAGTAACTAGGGGTGTGACGTCACTAGTTACAGATATGACTTTGGAACAGGACTGTGTATCTTTGTGAGTGTGCCTGTGTGTTTCTTCACTATTTAATAACAAAACAGATGATACATGTATTTTTGTTAATTACTGATATATGTTTTTAAATAAATAGAAAAACATTACACAATAATTATCATAGTCTTTTTTCAGTAGTATATCTTTTATTTTATTTTATACAGTTAGTATACACAGGATTGATTTAGGATTTCAATCATTTACTTTGAGTACATTTCTGTAGTTTCAATAGGAGTGTGACGATACATCGATATCGTGATGTATCGTGATACTTTCTCACGCGCTCGATTATCACAATGCTTTTTTTTTTGTATTTGACAATTAAATAAATAGTATCAATACTAAATATATGGGTACATTACGCATCTCCATTCCATTTATAATGAAATAAAGTGTATTATTTCACTTAACATTATTCTTTTTTTATGCCAATATGTGCTGTATTTGAATCCAGAGTTGAGAATTAGTTAATAACTTACACTTATAACTGTTTCGTGTTTACTCAGATTGCTTTACTAAAAGATTTCTATAGCAGTATATTTCTGACCAATATTTTGATAATCGTCATTTTGTGATATAATCGTTATCGCGTATCGTATCGTATCGTGGGGTTACCCACCTTAGTTTTCAATATAAAATAAAGTTGGGACTCAATAGTCAAAATGGTTCCATAGACACTGCCTAAAGCCATTGTCATTAATCATGTTTTACAGGGAACCATAATTAAAAAAACAAAACAGCCCCTGTTGATAACCGATTTGTGATTAGGTCGCTGTGGTCACTTACCTGTACTGAGCGTCCACAAGTTTCTTGGACGGCGTTCTCCAGATCACCCTGGGTTCCGGATCGCCTTTAGCCACGCAGTCCAGCCCCAGCTCTGCTCCGTAAACCACCTCCGTCACTTTCGCAGACGCCGCTGTGATGCTAGCTTTAGCCATTAGCATCTTACTCCTCACAAACAGGTTCACCGTCCTCTTGCTCGTTCCGATGGCATTACTCGCCAAGCAAAGGTACTTCCCGCTATTTTCTTGAGTTAAACTTCTCAAAACAAGCGTTCCATTTGGGAATACCATAATATTTCCGTTGTTTAAGTATTGCGACGATGTTAGCTGGATGTTAAAGGGTGTGGTCCATCGGATCGTTGGCTGAGGCGAGCCGTTAGCCGTGCAGTGCAAGTATGCAACGCCATTTTCCACCACGGTTACATTTTCAATCGGCATTTGTATAAAAACCGGGGGAAGAGATAAAACATACAACCTTATCGAAACAGTATCTGCTCCGGAACTGCTGCTCCCCACGCATTTGTAAATCCCTCTATCCGAGAAAGTGGCTTGCCGGATTCGCAAAGTGCCATTTTGCAGGATGCTAACGCGGTTTGCCACTTGTGAAAAAGGCGTAGTTGTGATCTGGGCCTGGTTGGGAAGCACCCAGGTCACTTTCGGCTTTGGGTGGCCCTCGACCTGGCAGCTCACGTCGATGCTGGAGCCCATGTTGACGGAGAGGTCGCGGTGTCGTGGTTGAAGGATTTTGGGGTGTTGGGAAAGCACCACAACGTTCGTTAACATCTGGTCGGATCCAAACTGGTTCTGGACTGTGCACAGGTACTCCCCGCCGTCCAGAGGTTGGATGTTTCTGATGGTGAGTGTTCCATTCATGTGCACTTCGAAGCGCTGGAGTCGAGTGTTCTGTGGGATACTGGCACCTGAAAGAATCAGAGGACAAATAATGTGTTGCCGAATTACGAAGTTTCGAATGAAGTGACAGCAATTTCAGCATATAAAGACAAGCCTAGTTTTAAAATATTTTCCAAGGAGAACGCAAAAACTTGGCTACCGTTGTTTACTGTTGTTTTAGCATTGTACCAGTCTATGATTGTACCTCATCAAAACATAGTAATTAAAGCCGGGGTAATTATCTCAATGTTTCAAAGATAATCCATGTTGTTATAATACAGTACAATGTGAACATAAATTATCTTTTATGTAAGAAAGAACCCTGTGAGTCCTTATTGGACTATTTGGGCTGAGTGAGGGTGGTCTTCTCATTTTAACTTTTCTGTCTGTAAAAGTTGATCTTTTTATAAATATGTGAAAACTACTGACAGAAGCAAACTATTTTAGTGCCTGGAATTAATGGATTGGAACAAACTATACATTTCAGGCATGTCCAAACTCAGGCCTGTGGGCCAATTGCGGCCCTCTGTCCCATTATATTTGGCCCTCTGCTGCTAACACAAAGTTGTCATTTAAGCACTTTGACAGTGTCATCCAACCAACTTCAGCTCCACCAAAACAGTAATTCTATATCTTGTTAATCTCAGACCCTCTGGAATCCAGTCGTTGACTCTATTTTTATATACTGACATTTGATTTATGATTGTGTCACAACATTCCAAATAAAATGCAGCCGTGGTGTGAATCAATAAGGATGTAACATAACCCATTTCAAATTCCAGAATCCAGTCAATCCGGCTTGAATCAAGTTATTTTAAATCCAGATTGTTGGCCCAAGGTCAAGTCTAATGAACTATTGTGGCCCTCTTATAAAAAAGTTTGGACACCCCTGATATATTTCTTTTGGTGTTTGACGGTAACATAAATATGTTTAAATATGTTGATTCTTAAAGCAACCCTTGAGCAAAGCTATAACATTGTGAGGGCAAACACGAGCGACATGTGCCTGATATAATTTGAATGGAGCAAAAATCTATGAGAAAAATGCATAATGTGTCTCCTTTAAATTGTGTTTTGCGTATGACCTGGACTAGATGGGCAAAAGACAAATGATGTGGAACGATATGTGATTGCTCAAAAATCTTCAAAACTTCCACATTATAACACCAATCTCAACCCATTTCATTTACTCACAATCTGTTATGCTATAGCTTCATAAGACACATAAAAGTATACACATATACTTTACATAGCAAAATAGCTTACCTAATCTATTTGGCTAAGCTGTGAAAATCGCTGTAACTGCTTATTTACGGCTCATGACTCAGACTTACCGGTCGAGACTTTGGTCCACGACAGGAAGGGCCTGGGTTCTCCGCTGGCTGAGCAGGGAAGCGCCGCATCTGTTTCCGCTTTTACGCTCATAATTTGGAAATTACTCTTGGTTATCCTTGGCTTCCCCCTCGGATAAGTGGCGGAGGCAGGCAGCTTTGACGTTGTGCTAGCTCGCGGCGTCTCAGTCCTCAATTTCGCCCAAAATGGGGTAGAATCCGGGGCAGGGGTGGTCCTCGGGATGATTTTAGGTATGCTCAGATTTGAGCTAATAAATTGGTCTATTTTGTGGCCAGAAGATTGGGTTACGGGCCCTGAAAACTCAACTGTGGCTTGAGTTAGCTGCTGGGTGGCATTCATTAATGGTGTCATAGACGTTTTTAGCAATTTAGCGTGATTGCTTTGGTCCAGATTAGGGCTGAAGCTCTTGTGAATATCCTGTTGCAAAGGATTTTGCGCAAGGCTCCGAGACAAAGCTGGATTTTGTACAGAAATATGAGAAGAATTGGTTGATTTAGCTGGTATGTTTTGATCTTGTTTGTCAACAGCGATGCTGGGAACTTTCTGTCTGTTGAAATTCACTTTAGAAGGAACCATGGTGGTTTTTGGAATATAATTTTTAGAGGAATTGGCCTGGTGTTCCTCTGTAGTACTGGGTATAAAAGTAAATCTTGGATCTTGTTTTGTTAAGTTTAATAGTGAAGATGTAATAATTGGTTTAGCGATGTTAATGTTAGCACTAGCACTTGAAAACGTCATTGCAGTTGTTCTTGGATACACGGTTTGAGTCGAATTAGTCAGATTTTCTTGGCTTTGTGTGTCATTTACAAAAACAGGAATGCTAGCTGCTTGCTTGCTAGCATTTTGCGATAACATTTCCCGTTCATATTGCAGTTCTTTATTCGAAGTTTCCAAAGTTTTGCTAATGTTCGTAGCTCGATTATTTGTATATGCTGATAAATTGGTTGGTAAAGTTGTTTTAGGTGGAGCTATATTTGAAAAAACTTCTGATTCGCTCTGTCTATATGGCTTTTCTGTGCTACTGCTAATGCTAGAAGCGCCTCTGCTGCTTTGCTGTAGCTTTGATTCAGTGGTGGCCCGGTTAAAAGTGACATAATTGGCTGTAGTCGTTGGTAACACAGTTGTAGCCACACTCAAACTCAGATCTTCCACTTTATCTGGTCTGTTTTCTTGGATTATAGTCTTGGGGGAGGCTTCTGGTGTTTTAGTAACAGCTTGTACTTCAAAATCAATGCCTGTTGTGGCCATTAAACTACTTGTGTCTTGGAAATGGCGAATCTCCTCCACTTTATGCTCCGTAGGGGAAGCCGGCGAGGAAGAACGGCTTGCTAACAGCTCCCAGGTCCCATTCGCGAGATGCTCCTCTCCTTCGGGGGTCGTATATCTGTGGCGCGATTGAATTAGCTTCCTATTTGCGTGCCTCGGCTCCTCTGAGGGACTCTCGAGTACTGCGTTTTTCATTGGAGTCTGGAATAGAGGTTTAACAGGTGGCAAAGGGTGGCTTGTAAACTTTTGCTGAGATTTTGATGGGATTGGGTCCAGTCTTGTCTCTGGAAAATCAGTTGGATCTAAGTCTTGTCTCAAATCATTTTCAGCAAATATTGTTTGTGTATCACGTACTAATGGAGAATCAGTCTCTAAATCCGCTGAAATATCTAGTTTTAGCTCCTCATTTTCATCTACAGCCTTATGTCTCAGCTTGTTCTTTCGCCTATTTGGCTTTTTCTTGCGTTTTTCATCATGTCTTTTTGAATTTGGCTGGTGCGACTGTTTGGACCAAATGTGCGCAGCTGTTGGGGAAACTAAATCAATTATCTTTTCAATTTTCAATGGTCCCACATGTTGTATTATTTCATCTCCCCTATTTGAAGTAACTGGGTCAACCGTTGGAAGCTGTTGTCCTGGTTTAACCCTTTTATTTAATTTGGAAATTCGTTTTTTATTGCGATTTCCTTTCACTTTATGTCTTTTGGGATCAGCTGCTTTCACTCCCTTCGTTCTATCGTCCTCATGGTTGGAATAAGTTATGCTCTTGCTTGGAGTATTTGGCCTTTGCTGCCAAATAGTGACAGCTTGCAATGGAGCAGAAGTGGTTTGCGGTAGGAAAAACACATTGCTAGAAGTAGTAGGATGAAAATTGATGATACTCGGTGATGTCAACGGCTTAAGGGTTGTCGTATGCAAACTGTTGGAATTTTCCTGCTTAAAAATAGGTGTGGTTGATTCTTTCTCATGCAAAGTTGCTCCATTAGATGATCCCTCAATGCTGTCACTGGCTGAAGTTGTTAAATATTGCTGAAAAGTGGTTGCTTCTTGAAATTGAGTCGTCATTTTTGGCGTTGTGACTATCAAAGGAGCAGCGGTAGTCCCAAACATCCCATTCTTAATGCGAATCTTCGACAAAATATCTGCCCATCTCTCTGGATTTATCTTAGTTTTCGCCATGTTCATTCTACGACGGCTGTCCAAAATGTTCCTCCCATTTTCTGGCAAGTTCGGCTTTCGTAACATAATGGGAGGTCTGCGCCAGGGACTTCTTGGCAGATTCAAGCCATTACGAACTGGAAGCGTTTTGCGGATCGGGTTTGAAACTACAATGTCTTCGATATCGCCTGATCCTTCCTCCAAATCATCAACTTTAACTTTTGTGTTCACTCCAGACGCTGATTGTGGCCTCAATGGGAACCTTCTAAGCGAACGCACAATCCCTGGACGCTTATTTACAACAACCTCAGCAAATTTTGTGTCCGAACCAAATCGATTCAAAGCTACGCATTTGTAAAATCCATTATCCAGAGGCAAACTGTTTACTATGCGAAGCGATCCGTTAGAACTCACAAAAACCCTGGATGTATTTGACGTAAAACTAACTATATTTCCATTTGGAAGAATCCAGTTGACCTCGGGATCAGGGGAGCCAAAAGCATCGCAGTCTAAGTTGAGAGAATTTCCAGCCATTATCTCAACAGGTGTTTGGTCCTTTCCATGTTGAGGCTTTGACAAATCTTGTACGCTAACAAAAACTGGCAAAAAGGCAACATCTCCGTCAACTTTAGAAACGCAATAGTATTTCCCGGCGTCTTTATGTTCCGCCATTTTGATTTCGAGCTTGCCATCGGGAGAAATTGTCAATCTTTGATCAGAATGTTGACTAGGTGCGACTAGCTTTGTCCCATCTGGTAGTATCCAAGTTATGATGGGTTCGCCTGAGCTTTGGACATGACATTGCAAGTCAAAACTTTTTCCCAAAATAACCGTTTTATGCTTCGAATTCGTCTTGTCAATCGTCACCCACATTCTAGCTTGTCTTTGAATAATTTCTGTTTCCAAAGTTTGCGAAAGTTGCGTCATAAAACTTAGCTTGACTTTCTTGCCGGACGATCCTTGCCTGTTCAGCTGCAAATCTGCATATGACTGCATTAGCCAAGACGGTTGCGCCATGATGTTAGCTTTCACGCCTGTGTAATACAACGCATCTTTATCCATATCTTGCTTGTACAAATATGTCAGATATGGCTCTTTGGACAGCAGGATTCCTCTTTTTAAATGTGCCGGTACGCTCGTATAATATGCAATCAATCTCCAAAGACGCTCATATTTTTCTCGGTCGACGTTGCAATCCAAATCTAGCATTAGCGTAATGTTGCTAGCCATTTTGTCATCTCCCATTGGCTCAAAGCTAATTTTCCCAACATCTCTTGGTTCGTCAATGCTACATTCAAGCTCCACTTTGTTGCCGTGTTCGTCGGAAAGTTCCAGAGAAATATTTCCAAACGGCTGCTTGAAATCGTCCAGAAACTGGTCCAAGTCTTGGTGCGTCTCTTCTGGTTGAGAGCGATGGTCACTGGAGGTGATGACCGGACGGCTACAGCTCATGTCGTCCAGGAGTTGGAGTGGTTTCTGGTGGAGTTTTCTGGGAGAGGAGCAGACGGGGCAGAGCTGACCGCCGGGAAGAGAGCGTTCTTTTTTACACTTCAACACGTCTGAAAGGAAAAAAGAAATCATAGTCCTTTTTTACTAACTCTTTCAGAAATTTGGCTATTTTTAGAAGGGATTGTCAGTAAGCTCATTTTTTCAGTGGTAATTGCAAGCTAAATATTATATTACACCAGAGAGAGAGACAGGAGAGAGACACCTGTGAGAGACACCAGTAAGAGAAAGCAGAGAGAAAGCAGAGATAAAAACCAGAAACTGATCAGAGAGAGACACCAAGGTGGAAGACATGAGATATATATATATACAGCTTTGATTTCTGGTTCTTCTTAATATAATAATCTAAATAATAGAATGAAAAAAGAACCAATAGGACAAATTTCAGTTCAAACTAACCCTATCTCAGCATTATCATCTGTATAAGGCTATGTTAGCATTGTCCATCTGTGCACAGTGTATGTTAGCATTGTCCATCTGCAAGTCTGTGGTAATAACTGACAAAGTTTAAGGCCACTCCATGTAGCATTCCACACGAAACATGAAAAGTATTTGGTTGACGTCAAAATACTTTCATTTCTAATCTGCAAATCAACAACTGTGTGAAGTCCTTGGACACGAGTCTGGCTGTAATTGTGGGCCGAACAAAAATTTGGTGAATTTAAGTTATTAGAAGGACGACTCCAAAGAACTGTCTGTATGCACAGAGACTGTATGCACAAGTCTGATTCAAAAGAAACAGTTTCATAGTCCACTTTTAAAAACTTTGAATCAGTTAATTTTCCAGTAAATACTAACTTCTTGGGTGACAGCTGCAGAAACTTGAAAATGTGCAAGAGAGAGACCAGAGAGGGAGAGAGAGAGATCAGAAAGAGACCAGTGAGAGTTAACAGATAGAGAGAGACCTGAGAGAGACACCAGAGAGATATCAGAAAGACCAAAATCACAAAACAGCATTAGAAAGACCATATACGCCTCTCACCTGGTGCCTTTTGTATCCACTGCTGGAGCCAAGCCATGCTGCAGTCACAGACCAGAGGGTTAGCATGGAGATAGAGGTTCTCAAGCTGAGGCATGGTCTCCAGCGTCTCCCTGGACAAGGTGCTCAGGCTGTTGTTACTCAGATACAGGTGTTTGATGGTAGAGAGGTGGAAGTGGTCCATGATGGTGACGGTGCAGAAGGTGGAAACATGGATCTGCTTAATCTGGTTTCCCTCCAGCTGCAGGAGACGGAGGCTGGTGAGACCATGGAACAGGTCTGGGTCCAGGGTCTCCAAATGGTTGTGGTCTAGGTGTAGTCTCGCCAAAGACCAGAGACCCAAGAACGTGTAGCGGTTCAGCTCACGGAGTTTGTTGTAGCTTAGTTTTAGCATCTGACCGGAAATACAGACAAGTTTCACTAGTAAATAGACATACAGTAAAACAACATAACAGAATGGACCTTTCATAGCTTTTGATCGTCATTCTCTCGTCTCTAGTGACTTCTTTGGTCTCTCTCTGATCTCTCTCTCTGGGCTTTCTCGTCTATCTATCTGGTCTCTCTTTGGTCTCTCTCTGCTCTCTCTCTTTGGTCTCTCAGTCTCTCGTCTCTCTCGTTGGTGTCTATCTCTGCTCTCTCTCTCTTGTCTCCCATTGATCTCTCTCTGACCTCTCTGTCTCAGGTCTTTCTCTATGCTATCTTTCTGGTCTCTCTCTCTCTGACCTCTCTTTGGTCTCTCTCTCATTCTGGTCTTTCTTTCTGGCCTCGCTCTTTCTCTCGCACTGGTATCTCTCTCTTTGGTCTCTCTCTCTCATTCTGGTAGAAATGAGAATGAAGACCTCTCTTTCTGGCCTCTCTTTGTTGTCTCTCTCTGGTCTCACCTGCAGAGCTGACAAGTCTCTGAATGCTCCATCTGGTATCGCCTGGATGTTGTTGCCGTGAACCAGAAGCAGCTCCAGACGACTGAGACCAGAGAAGGACTTCTGGGACACGCTGCTGATGCTGTTGAACCTAAACACAGTAGTTCAAACTTCTCACATAGTCTTATAGACGCCATGTTGTGTGTAATTTAAAACTGGGGGATGGTACTTTTAAACCACAACAATAGAACTAAGTCATACAGTATAGTCCCTGGCTCTAAAACTAATTTTCACATGCATCTATTTTTGGTCTCTGTCACATCAATAGTGGTTAGCAGAGAGACACCAGAGAGAGACCAGAGAGAGAGAGTCTAGAGAGAGACCAGAGAGAGTCTAGAGAGAGACCAGGGGAGTCTAGAGCGAGACCAGAGAGTCTAGAGAGAGCCCAAAGAGAGTCTAGAGAGAGACCAAAGAGAGTCTAGAGAGAGACCAGAGAGAGACCAGAGAGGGTCTAGAGAGAGACCAGAGAGAGTCTAGAGAGAGACCAGAGAGAATCTAGAGCGAGACCAGAGAGAGTCTAGACCGAGACCAGAGAGAGTCAAGAGCGAGACCAGAGAGAGTCTAGAGAGAGTCTAGAGAGAGACCAGAGAGAGACCAGAGAGACCCCAGAGAGAGACCAAAGAGAGTCTAGAGAGAGACCAGATATAGACCAGAGAGAGTCTAGAGAGAGTCCATAGAGAGACCAGAGAAAGACCAGAGAAAGACCAGAGAGAGTCCATAGAGAGACCAGAGAAAGACAGGGAGAAACCAGTACCCCTGCTTTAAAGTCAGGTACCCCAGCTATATGTCCCTCACCCCAGGTTGATCCTCTGGACGTGGGGAGAGATGTGCTCAGGGACGGAGAGCAGAGACCTGAAGGTGCAGTGCAGCTCCGTGACCTGTGGACAAGTGCAGGAGCGAGGGCAGGGGGCAGCAGAGAGACACAGGGGGAGGAGGATGAAGAGGGTGAGAAGGGGGGAGTGCAGAGCCATGCTGAGGGAGGAGGAGGAAGCGTCACAACCTGTGGAGCATGGACAAATCACATACACAATGTTATATATGTGGCCATACTTTAGACTGTATACAGATGTGGAGGAGAACAGAGTAGAGTACCGTAGGGCACAGGAGAGTACAGTAGAGCAGAGCATAGTACAGTCCAGTGGAGTAGAGCACAGTAGAGTACAGTAGAGCAGAGTAAAGTAGAGTACAGTAGAGTAGAGCACAGTAGAGTACAGTAGAGCAGAGTAAAGTACAGTACAGTAGGGTAGAGCACAGTAGAGTGCAGTAGAGCAGAGTAAAGTAGAGTACAGTAGAGTAGAGCACAGTAGAGTACAGTAGAGTAGAGCACAGTAGAGTAGAGCACAGTAGAGTACAGTAGAGCAGAGTAAAGTACAGTACAGTAGAGTAGAGCACAGTAGAGTACAGTAGAGCAGAGTAAAGTAGAGTACAGTAGAGTAGAGCACAGTAGAGCAGAGTAAAGCACAGTACAGTAGAGTAGAGCACAGTAGAGTACAGTAGTCGAACAGAGTAGAGTAGCGCACAGCAAAGTACAGTAGAGTAGAGTACAGTAGAGCAGAGTAGTGCACAGTACAGTAGAGTAGAGCACAGTAGAGTACAGTAGAGCAGAGTAAAGTACAGTACAGTAGAGTAGAGCACAGTAGAGTCGAACAGAGCAGAGTAGTGCTGCTGAGTACAGTAGAATAGAGCCTCATATACTACTGTAATGTTTTATTAATGTAAGATCTCCCGTCACTGACTGTGGCATTAGAAAAAGATAAACTCAGATTAAAGCTGGGGTACCTAACTTTCTGTTTTATAAATGATGTAGCCTGTTCCAATCTCACAGGGCTGAGACTATGGATTTTATTACATAGTTCTATTGATGTGGTTTGAAAGTTACGAACCCCAGCTTTAAGTATTTATAAACTTAGTCATCACACATACACATACACACACACACACACACAGTAATAAAACATTATTACCTCATCACCGGCTCTGTTTCAGACTCTGAAAAGACGGAAAAAATGATCCAGACAGTGTGAATGTATTCTTCAGGTCCAAGTCTCAGGTCTGGGTCTGAGCTGATCCAGGTCTGGTCCAGGTCTTGGTCTCAGGTCTGGTCTCTGCGAGTTCTGGAGAGGACTGAGCCGGTTTGAGACGGGACACAGGGGGAGGGGACCTGGGAGGAGGGAAGCATAGGCCGAGGATAATGTTAAATGTGACTGGGTTGGATCTACCACACTTATACCATATATTAGGAATCCCAACAAAGTGACGACATAGCAGCAGATTTCTCTGGTCTCTCTCTCTGGTCTCTATCTCTCTCTATGGTCTCCCTCTCTCTCTCTGGTCTCTTTCCCTAGTCTCCCTCTGGTCTCTCTCTCTGGTCTCCCTCTCTCTCGCGTCTCCCTCCCTCTCTGCACTCTCTCTCTGGTCTCCCTCTCTCTGATCTCTCTATCTCTGGTCTCTCCCTCTGGACTCTCCCTCTCTGGTCTCTCTCTGGTCTTCCTCTGGTCCCTCTCTCTCCTTTAAAGGCTGTAGCAGTAGTCATGATGTGTTTTTAAGTTTAAGTCTCAAAAATCTCCGTGTTCTTGTGGTTTAATCCTGGATTAATGTGAAGAGTCCAGTGCCGTCAATCATTTAAAACTCTGGATTAGTTTAAAGACTGGTTTAATCCACTCAGACTCAGATCCATCAAACTGAGAGAAACAGAAAGACACTGGAAAGACTTCTGAAAGACAAGGTTTAGGGCAAAAACTGTATTTCAAAGTAATGCACAATATTACTGTCTCTGTGTAAAGTAGTACTCTACTGCATTACTTTGAAGTTACTCTCTTCATATATTTATATAAACAACCTAAATGTAGCTTATGAAGCTCTAGCCTGAGGTTGACAGAGCTTTTGGTTTGAACATAAAGTAACTTTACTGTATTATGTTCCACATCTTTGTCTCCAACAAACTCTAAATAATGGAGTCTGTAAAATGTGCTGTTGTCCATGTAGTGTCTGCTTCTGCTTCAGCCTCAGCCGTCTTCTACCAGAAAGGAACAACACTTTTAGTCAAATACTATTGGAGCAGAAGTGTTCTCAAAACAAAACAATATTTAATATTTAATTTGTCAAAGTCAAATATTACCCAGTTTTTTTTACGCCTTATTACTGCTGTAGAGCAAAAAGCAACACATTAAAGTCACTACATTACCTTTGGAACGTGTTACTCCCAACACTGGTAGTAGTAGTAGTAGTAGTAGTAGTCGTAGTAGTAGTAGTAGCAGTACTGCACATGTTGCTACTACCCAAAGCCACTATATTAAGAATCGGTTTTCATGTACTTCACTTGGCTGCTAAACTACTACAAGTATGATTACTACTATTGCGACGTTGTCTTGCTATTTCTCATGTCGGCTTCAAAAGTACTTGCAGTACTTCATAAAGTGCGCATAGTGGGACCTCTGGATGATGAGGTGATATCTGCAGAATGTGTCCCATATGTGGAATATTTAGACAGATGCAGATCGAGCTTTGTTTAAATCTCAGCAGAGTCACGACCCACCAGCCACATGGACCAATACTGCAGATACTACTACTACTATACTACTGCTACTGCTGATACTACTGCTACTATACTACTGCTACAGCTGATACTACTGCTACTATACTACTGCTACAACTACTACAACTGCTACTATACTACTGCTACTGCTGATGCTACTGCTACTATACTACTGCTACTGCTGATACTACTGCTACTATACTACTGCTACTGCTGATACTACTGCTACTGATACTACTGCTACTACTACTACAACTGATACTATACTACTGCTACTGCTGATGCTACTGCTACTATACTACTGCTCCTGCTGATGCTACTGCTACTATACTACTTCTACTGCTGATGCTACTGCTACTATACTACTTCTACTGCTGATACTACTGCTACTGCTGATGCTACTGCTACTATACTACTGCTACTGCTGATGCTACTGCTACTATACTACTGCTACTGCTGATGCTACTGCTACTGCTGATGCTACTGCTACTATACTACTGCTACTGCTGATACTACTACTACTATACTACTGCTACTGCTGATGCTACTGCTACTATACTACTACTACTGCTGATACTACTGCTACTAAACTACTGCTACTGCTGATGCTACTGCTACTATACTACTGCTACTGCTGATACTACTAATACTATACTACTGCTAATGCTGATACCACCACTGCTACTGCTGATGCTACTGCTACTATACTACTGCTACTGCTGATAACACCACTGCTACTGCTGATGCTACTGCTACTATACAACTACTACTGCTGATACTACTACTACTATACTACTGCTAATGCTGATACTACTGCTACTATACTACTGCTACTACTACTACTACTTCTACTGCTGCTGCTACTGCTACAACTGCTTGTACTGCTACTGCTACTACTACTGCTGCTATACTACTACTACTTCTACTGCTACTACAGCTATACTACTACTACTATACTACTGCTACTACAGCTATACTACTACTGCTAATACTACTGCTGCTATACTACTGCTACTACTACTTCTACTGCTACTACAACTATTCTTCTGCTACTACCACTGCTATACTACTATACTACTAATACTGCTACTACTACTACTACTACTACAGCTGCTATTGCTATTACTACTACTACTGCTACGTCCTTCTGTCTGGATTTCTGACAGAAAAGTGACACATTTTTCACCATGAGCCAAACTTTTATTGCGTTATCGTTGAAACAGAAAAGCTGCTGATCAGCGGAAAACACAGAAGACAATAGTTCAGAAATCTTCATGACTTTATCCATCCTCATTTAAAGGTGGGGTACGTAACTCTCAAACCACATCAATGGAGATATACAATCACCAGACTCGCTGTAGTGTAGGAGACGTCATTTGAAAAGCCGACACAGGTCAAAACAACATGCCGACTTTCCCCACTGTTGTCTCGGGTCAAGAAGACATTTCAACACATTCTCCTCTTCTTTCTCTGGTCTTCTTCTGGTCTCTTTCTTTGGACTCTGGTCTCTCTCTCTCTAGTCTCTGTCTTTGGACTCTCTCTGATCTCTCTCTCTCTCTCTGGTCTCTTTTTGGTCTCTTTCTTTGGCATCTCTCTTCTCCACTCCCCTCCTCTTCTTTCTCTCCTCTCTCTCTTCCAAACTGCATAACTCTTCTCTTACTTTTGGACCATCCACACTAGACCCTGTTAAACCTCCTCTGCCCCAGTCCTGGTTCTGGTCCTGGTCCTGGTCCTGGCCCTGGTCCTGGCCCTGGTCCTCCTCCACAATGCTTTCTTTCACACATTACACACACTGAAGCAGAGTTTACAAGCGCTGGGGCCACGAGGAGCGGAAACATCTGCTCCAGGTGTCTGCGCTAATGAAGCCACGCTAATGACATGCTAACCGCTAAGCTAATTGGGCTAATGGAGACGGATGCGTTGACAGAGTGCGCGAACCTTTGGCGTAAATATGGAGTCAGCGCGTGTCAGTTATGTCAAGGGTAGAAACTGTAGATGAAAAGCAGCTGTGGAGGAACTAGAGATAAAGCTGAGGTGCGTAACTTTCCAAACACAACAGAACTATGTACTAGCATCCATATCTCTAGTTCAGCAGGGACTGAAACAGAGACTGAAACAGAGACTGAAGCAGAGACTGAAACAGAGACTAGAGCAGAGACTGAAGCAGAGACTGAAGCAGAGACTGAAACAGAGACTGAAACAGAGACTGAAGCAGAGACTGAAACAGAGACTGAAGCAGAGACAGGAGCCGAGACTGAAGCAGAGACTGAAGCAGAGACTGAAACAGAGACTGAAACACAGACTGAAGCACAGACTGAAGCAGGTGTAAAGCAAATCCGTTTGCATAAAATATGAATTAATATACATTTGATACATTTAATAATAATTCATATATTTTCAAGATTTATAATAATCTTAATAATATAATAATCTTTC